TTACTTCTGTTTACCATTTTTATAATTGCTTCTGTATTAATGTATATTGTCTACTATGTAGCAGAAGGGAGTTATAAAACTTAATCATATAACCTGTTATATTGTGACAATAAATGTACCTACCTACCTGAAAGAGTAAACCACAGTTAGAAGTCACCACTGTGCTTTTGTGCAAAAAAAATTGAAAATAGGTTCAAGCATTGGTTAATAGTTTGCATCTCAGTATCAATTTGACTTTTTTTATTTCCTTCATTCCTTCTAATCAGTTTTAGAAAAGGGTCTAAGTAGTTTGTTAAGATACCACACCTTGAACATGTTTGAGCCTGTTCAGATAGATCATAATTAAACAATAGAGAACAGCATATTGTACATTACATTTTCATAAAGGAAATTTGAGTTTGAAAGTTGTGTTTAAAAATAGCTAGAATAAGAACAAGTATCACAAAACTTAAGTAAAGCAGCCCTTCTCCGAATGTTCTCTGGTGTTCCTAGAGAACATGTTTTACAAAAAGTGTTTCCTCTCTTTGAAGCACAGACTTTACACAACTGCTTGCACAGCGGTGTCCTTATTTATCCGTAGTGAAACCAATGTATCACTAAATTAAATTTTAACTGCTTTCAGCGTTACGTAAACAATACCTTCAAAGCTAGTCAGAACACAACGAGCAGAAAAGTTTAACACCTTTGTCACACGCTAAATCAGGGCTGTTTCCGGTCTCACACAAACACGCACAAAATTTGTATTTCACCACCACCTTCAGCAAGACACAGATGGTATTCTGCCACAGATGAAATTGGAATATGTTTATTAAAAATACATCACCAATGGGTAAAGTGCAGGCTCCTGTGGCATTAAGGTCTTCCAACAAGGTTGACATGATGGGTAAAAGTTTCTGCTTGCTCTCCTCGTTAGATATAAAGCCACTCTCCAGCTGCAACACAATGAGGCAAAACGATTTAAGGTCTTATTACTAAAAAACTATACAAATATGAAAGCAGTCGAATGTGACAAGTACAGAAGTGAAAATAAACTATTCACTACCTCCAGAGTTGTAAGGTACCCAGACAGCTTCTTGACAATCGGCTCGAGAGCGCACGTGTTGGTCTGGGCATCACAAACGAGGCCAAGGTTAAACAGGAGGGCATTGCGGCTGTACTTTTTGTGTTCAATGCACACAGGACACCCAATTAACTTTTTTCCCATGGCAGTGCTAAAAAAAATAAATTTAAAAAAGCGCGCAACTTACCATTAACATATAAACATAAACAGAAGTCTCAAGGTGAATAAAAACCAATGAATTATGGCAAAGAGAGAGAAGAGGAGTGTTAGATTAGATAGCTTACACTGTTATTAATTTGTTTTGCAGTTCTGGCTTGGTGATAATATAAACCTGAACTGTGTCAAAGAGCTCCCGTGATATATATTCCTCTGGGACCTGTGAGGAGAGGACATAGGGCACAGTGTATGACAAAATACATCCTGTGATGAACACTAAGAAGATTATGTACTGTTCACTTCCAAGGTCATGTATAGGAGGGATTAATGCATGTCGAGTTTTAATTCCATTATACACTGAACGAAATAAGACGCAACACTTTTGTTTTTGCCACCATTCATGATGAGCTGAACTCAAAGATCTAAGACTTTCTCTATGAACACTAAAGGCCTATTTCTCTCAAATATTGTTCACAAATCTGTGTAAGTGAGCACTTCTCCTTGGCAGAGATAATCCATCCACCTCACAGGTGTGGCATATCAAGATGCTGATCAGACAGCTTGGGTATTAGACAGGTGTGCCTCAGGCTGGCCACAATAAAAGGCAATTCGGAAATGTGCAGTTTCACTGTATTGGGGGGTCCGGAAACCAGTTAGTATCTGGTGTGACCACTATTTGCCTCACGCAGTGCAACACATCTCCTTCACATACATGCAGATGAGCTTCCCTGAGATGGTTCCTGATAGTTTGTGCAGAAATTCTTTGGTTATGCAAACCAATTGTTGCAACAGCTGTCTGGGTGGCTGGTCTCAGACAATCTTGGAGGTGAAGATACTGGATGTGGAGGTCCTGAGCTGGTGTGGTTTCACATGGTCTGCGGTTGTGAGGCCGGTTGGATGTGCTAATTCAAATTCTCTGAAACACCTTTTGGAGACGGTTTATGGTAAAGAAATGAAGACTCAATTCATGGGCAACAGCTCTGGTGGACATTCCTGCAGTCAGCATGCCAGTTGCACGCTCCCTTGAAACTTGCGACATCTGTGGCATTGTGCTGTGTGATGGAACTGCACATTTGAGGCCTTTTATTGTAGCCAGCTTGAGGCACACCTGTGCAATACCCAAGCTGTCTGATCAGCATCTTGATATGCCTAACCTGTGAGGTGGATTGATTATCTCGGCAAAGGAGAAGTGCCCACTAACACAGATTGCCAGATTTGAGAGAAATAGGCCTCTTGTGTACATGGAGAAAGTCTCTCTACTGCTTGTGTTTTAGCGTTACAATGCTTGTTTACCAAGAATGTGAGCAGTTACAGCACCTGAAAACATTCAAATACTAAACATGATCCAAGCCCATGCTTTTATTTACAGCATTAAACTCCAAAATACCTCATCTTGATGGGAAGAAATGGGGTCTGATAATGACTGCAATATACACTCACTGGCCACTTTATTAGATACACCTTGCTGAATTGCTGCCATGTGATTGGCAGATTATTTGCGTTAAAAAGCATTTGAACAGGTGTACTTGTGAAGTGGCCAGTGGGGGTTTTCAGCTATAACGTAAAGAAATAAACATGACATTAACACAATTCCCAATTTAACATGAAAACCACTTACATGATTAAGTTACTATCATAATAAAGATAATCATGCAGGCAGGGGCCCCCACCCTCTTGTTATAGACCATTATGGTCTATAACAAGAGCATCATATGGTCTATGATGCTAAAGCCCACACCAAATAACGTTATATCATATGCACACTTACCTGGTAAGTTATCTTTGGACCCAGTGTGGGGTGAAACTCGCTGAAGAATATGCACCCTATGCGTTCAGCCATCTTAAAGTTCTGTCAGTGCAGCTACCAAACTGTTTTTAAGCAGCTGATGCTAACTGCTAGCTCCCAGTTTTACCGTTGAAAGGCAAGATAGTAACCTCCCGTGAACCTATATTCAGCAGGTCTAACGCCCGAACACCAACTCAAAACATAAATCGCCTCCACCTGCCCATTCTTCTTCTTCTGCTGCTGCTGCTCCTGCAGCTTCTTCTTCTCCTTCTTCATGGTCGTTGACAAACAACGTTATGGTGCATTACCGCCCCCAACTGGACTGGAGTGTGGATTGGGAATACTGATAAATAAATAAATAATCATTATAACATATAACACTGATAATAAAATAAATAAGGAAAAAGCTTGTTTTATTTATCAAGATCGTTATCGTGAAATATTGAAACAAACAATCAATAAATATTCTCCCTAGCACTTCATTGTAAAAGATCACAAAGCTAAACTTTATTTCTGTAAGTTTCAGTGCCAGTTCTCTTCTCTCAGCAACATATTTTGGAAAGTAAATCATAACATGTTCCAAGGTTTCTTCCTGATCACAAAATTCACATCTTCCTGTATTGTGTTTTCCTGTTTTAAACAATGCACTGATTAATCCTGACCTAAACGTAGCCGTGTTTCCTCTCCTCCTCCTCCGGGTTCTCTGATCATCATAGCAAGGGTGCAGAAATTAGGAACGTCCTTACCAATATCCAGCGACTACTGAATTGAGCCTAGTAATAATTGTGTTTATAATAAATATAACCACTGTTGCCCGTCAGCGTCCAGTCAATGTAGGCTATTTGGTACATAAACTGTTGAGTGTCTTGTTCTCTACTACATGTCCAATGCTTTTTTAAGTTCTCTACTACAGGTCCAATGCTTTTTTAAGTTCTCTACTACAGGTCCAATGCTTTTTTAAGTTCCGAAAGATTATATCCTCCCTCCTTTCATGACTCACTGTGATTTGGTCCGCTGCTTACCTTTTTCAGGCCATCTCCCTCTGGGAGATGTTTTTATTATCCCCTCCAACAGTGACATGAAACATTTCTTTGAATTCTGTATAAACACCTCCCTGTTTTCTCTTCTTCCCACTGCTTTTACCACCTGTTTTACTAAAAGGTCAATGTGCTTAGTTTTTGTGGCTTCTTTTGCACATTTGTCTGATCTCTTTTTTAAATCCCTATATGTGCAGGTATCCATACAAATGTAATTTTTAGTCCCAACAGTTGAATTCTATAGTGTTTGCTGTATCTCTATTAAAAAAATCTCTCTGCTGTCTGAATGTGCCTCGAGCTGATTTATGACGTGCTGAAATCAGAGCATTTTATTGCTCTACATGGCAGGTCTCATACTCAACCCATTGTAATGCTAAAACATTTGCATTATCTTGTTTGCTGCTATAGAATTATTATTTCTCCCATTTCCACTTTTAATGCTGATGTTCATCAACATCTTGATTAATATCAACTCTTGCATTTCCTTGTCACTAATCTGCTAAAATGTTTCCCAGTTAGCGCTGGGACTGGGAAATGCGCAAATAACGGACGTCGTAAATACGTAAAAGTAATACGTAATAAGTAAATAGTGTTGAGGATGTGTGCTTTTTTAATAAACAACATATTAATAATACCAAATGTGCTGTTGTAACTTCGTTTTCACATCTTTGGTGCGTCTGCAGAACATTAAAACGTGGCTTTTAGATCGTTTGTGGTTGATACATTAGCTAGCTGTTGCACATACATTACCATCAGCTGATCACACGACTTACATGATCTCAGTTATCTCAGCGTAAATACATTTTAAAACTTGGCTGTTTTCAGTGATAATCATCACTTTGTTCGTGTTTTTCAGGTGACGCAACCACAAAGGTTCATATATTCGACAGCGCCTAAAGGCAACACTGTTCAGCAGCGTCCGTGCTGCGCAGTGTGTGCCGCATTTGGAGACGTTTTGCGTCACGTCAAGAGGTTTGATGCGCCATGTGCAGGAAATACTATCAACAATGTCAAGTAGCGTGCCACCCTACTGTAGAAAATGTTGTTTAATGTTTATATAAGAAGAAACAAGAGACATAGAAACTGCAGGCTACTTATAGAACAACCGACCGTAGGTGTAACGTTACACACGCTGTCTGTTGGAATAGTGATGTAGTTCAGATTAATCATGTGGAGAAGATCTCTGCGTGTGGGCTACAGATGCTTTGGACCAAAGGTAACTAACTGGTCAAATTGTTTAGTTGCTTTTTTGATTGCTTGTAGGCCTGTGTAGATTATTTGTAGCAGTTAGACAACTGGAGAGCACATACAAACAGTGATCATGTTTTATTTACTTAGTGAGCCATGTATTGGTTGTTGTGCATTTACATTTGAGTGGATCAAAGAACTTTATCAATAAATTGTCTCACTGAATATATGGTTATGGCAGTGGCAGCACAATTTCTGATAATTTCTGAACAAAAGCTAGGATTGAATTTCACCTTCAGAAGGGACACACAAATTACCACACCCCACTGAATCCCCCACTTCATCACCAAGATCGTGACCTTGATAAAAATGGCTTGGCAGTTTGGTAAAGTGAAAAACCGAAAGAGGGGCACATGTGTTTGAACAAAGTGGGGCAGCCAATTATTGTTCCCCTTTTACTAATGAGGCGGTGTATCAGAAAATACACCTGCAGGGCTGCAGCTAACACTTATATTCATTATTTATTAATATACAAATCATTTTATTAATGTTATAAAACAAACAACAAAAGAAAAAAGTCAAAATATTTAAAGATTTGTGTTTGTTTTCCTGGCATTGACGAAATCCATGTACATACAGTACACAGAGGGCATATTATTAGAAACACCTTTCACTATCAAGCCGTGGTGTACTGGATTGCTTTAGAATGTGTAGGTACAGTATCTCACAAATGAGTACACCCCTCATATTTTTGTAAATATTTGATTATATCTTTACATGTGACAACGCTAAAGCAATGACACAACAAGAACCTGCCCTGTTGAGCCGCTGGATGGTCTTGGCCACCGTGCTGCAGCTCAGTTTCAGGGTCTTGGCAATCTTCTTATAGCCTAGGCCATCTTTATGTAGAGTAACCATTCTTTTTTTCAGATCCTCAGAGAGTTATTTGCCATGAGGTGCCTTGTTGAATTTCCAGTGACCAGTATGAGGGAGTGTGAGAGCGAAAACACCAAAATTTAACACACCTGCTTCCCATTCACACCTGAGACCTTGTAACTCTAACGAGTCACATGACACAGGGGAGGAAAAATGGCTAATTGGGCCCAATTTGGACATTTTCACTTAGGTGTGTGCTCACTTTTGTTGCCAGCGGTTTAGATATTAATGGCTGTGTGATGTGTTATTTTGAGGGGACAGCAAATTTACACTGTTATGTAAGCTGTATACTCATTACATTACATTGTAGCAAAGTGTAATTTCTTCATTGTAGTGTCATGAAAAGATATAATCAAATATTTACAAAATTGTGAGGGTTGTACTCACTTTTGTGAGATACTATATATCTAGTAATCTCACATAACTCAGATTACTTGACCGTCCATTGTGCCGTGACATGGAGGAAAGAGATGATTGAGGTGATGGAAACTGGTGAATTGCTGTTGAGACATGTATCTTGAGAGTATGTCAATCGGTGAGGTCTGAAATGAAATTGGATTTCAAATTTGCTACCTTAGTGATGGCGAATTGCCAATTGTAGACATCACAGTTGTTAAACCACAGTGGGAGTGCACTTCAGTTGTAGATTTGTCGTCATTTAGAAACTCACTTAAATCAAATGCTTTTAGGGAACTTGGGGCTCCCATTCAGTGCGTACATGCAGTGCTCCAGCCTTACCTGCAGGCAGGATCACAGCACTTCAGGCATTGGACTTGTGGAAGAGAAACTTTGTGGAGAATGGTGTAACGGAGCCTGACCACTCTAGCCGCTACATCATTGCTTATCTGCTGGGGGCGAAAACTGTGAGTGGCTCATATTGTCTGACATATTGTCTGAATAACCGCCTTGACATTTAACAGCATCCCTTCCTGTTCATTTATGCTTTTTCTTTATCCAGATTGAAAGTCTTGAGGAGGGGAAGTTAACAGAGTTTCTCAGCCAAGAAAAAACAGAGCAGATGTGGAAACTCTGCACCAGACGCCTCTCCAGGTATAAGGTTTCTACACACACCTCCTGTATAAATATGTATCCAGATGTTTCTTTACTAATAATACCCATAAACGTATGTGTTTTGTGTAGAATGCCTGTGCAGTATGTGATTGAGGAGTGGGACTTCAGAGATCTGACGCTGAAGATGAGACCTCCTGTGTTCATACCAAGACCTGAAACCGAGGTTGGACAGGAGGAAACCAGGCCACAAATACTGTACAGTGAAACCTCAGTGATCCGTTACACACAACCAGAGCAGTGTTTTCTCTGTGTTTGTGCAGGAGTTGGTTGAACTTGTGCTCACTGATCTGAAAAGGAAGCCCGGGACTGGAGTAGGTGCAGACGCCCAGTATACCTGCTTAGAAGTGGGATGTGGCTCTGGTGCCATTTCTCTTAGTCTGCTGAAGAGTCTGCCTCAGGTGAGGTTTGTGTTTATTGTAGGAAATGGCTGTATAGCCACTTCCACCACTTTGATTCAGGCTGAAATTTCTCAATAGCTATTGGATGGATTACCGTGAAATTTGGTGCAGACATTCAAGGTCCACAAATGCCCTATCTTAATGAGTTTGGTGTTCCTGACTTTTTATTTAGCAACACCATGAGGTTGACATTTGTGGCTTTGAGTGAAATATCTCAACAAGTAATGGATTCATTAGCATGAAATTTGGCACCGACATTCATGTTCCCGTCAGGATGACTTGAAATAAATTTTCATTTAGCACCAAATACTTACAAAATTTAAGACATTCCCATTAGCCTAAGCTGTACCTTGTGTTTAGTTACAGTTAGCATGCTAACAAGCTAAGACAGAAAATATGACACTTGCTAATTATAAGCGTGTTAGCATTGCCATTATGAGCATTTCACAATGCTGACATTAAGAGTACTCCACCAATGCAGCATTGCACTCCTATAACATTGTCGGGATGTCATCTCTTTGTGGCCCAGATTTGGCAAAAAGGTCCACGTGAACTGCTTAGCATTTCGTTATCAACGCTAAAAGTCACTGTGACCTCACAAAACACTTCTCAAAATGACCTTGACAAACAAAATTTTGTCCATAACGCAAGAATGAATTATGATTATACATTTTTTAAAAGTTAATCTTAACTTAAACATCAAAATGACCTAGAAAAACAACCTTTTTGTTCAGTATTCAGCACCATAACTCACAGGAACAGGAGGGGAGATTGTGGCAGATTTCACAGCTGGTCGGACACTGAAGAGCTGACACTTTTGATGCAAAGGTCAAAGATAATTGTGACCTCAAAACAGGTTTTTAGGTTCTTAAATAGATTTAAGAATTAACTGGGCGATTCCAGATTTCACATTCAAGTTGACTGGGACGACACAATGAGGAAACAGTAACCACACAGAACGGGCTTTCCTCCATCTCATTCATTCATTTCGGAGAAAACAAAAGCACCACATGCTGTGATGCTATATGAGAATTCCTCTCTCTACACGTGTACCTGTTTAGCCAATACATCTATGATAATCCTTCTTTAATCAGTTCAGTAATTTATATACACTGTCATCATACATAATGCATCATCAATATAGTGATACCTTCCATTTAGTCTCAGTCACTTTATACTTTTCATTCAATTCCTTCTACGTATTCACTACATGGATTATATGAGTCTGGACAGACCTGGATGTAAACTGCAACTTGAGTGAGACCTATAACTGCGGGGCAGTAATTCTAGTTTATTCCATGCATTGTTCTTCCTTTATAAAACCTGGTGCCTACATTACCCACAATGCAACATGACAACCAATAGCTTGGTTTGGAAATTCAGGTTAGTAAATGCAAAAGGTGCAGTGATTAGTAAATTTACTGATCAGTAGGTTGAGAGAGAATGTATTTATTACAATTATGATCAAGTACAATACCAAACACTGGCTGGTCTCATTTAAAAAAAATGTGAGTAGTTTGTCAGTTTCCTATCCTTATAAGTTGAATATATTTGGTGTTTAGGCTCCTAATCAGGATAATTGTAAATTACTAAATGTAATTTTCAGACATCACTATGAGTTTTGGCAACAGGTGAGGCTAATAAAAGAGCTTCGTAGTAGACTACGCTATTATCTTTTCATGGCAGAGCACGGCACGTATTGTCAGCCCCGCTTTTTACTATCCTGTCATAAGATTAGCTATGTCTGCTTATTTTTATGTCTCCAGTGTAAACAGATTGTAAAGTTGTAAAAATGTCGTAACTTTCTCACGCAGGCAAATACAGGAAGATAGACAAATGGATTTTCTCCCATTAGGTAGGTGTATCCAAACAGTAAACAACAGTTTTTAATTGCTGTGTTTGTTTCTTTGTCATTAGCTTAAAGCCATCGCTGTGGATCAAAGCCAGAATGCAGTGGATTTAACAAGAGAGAATGCGTTTAGGTAATTGTCCCATAGCACATAAAAACAAGTTGTAAATGTCCTTACTGATTGTTATTGTGACACATAAAGTCTGATAAAGGATTTTTCTTTGAAGGTTGGGGCTTCAGGACAGATTACAGATTTATCAAATTGATGTAATGAGAGGTAGGTGAAAGCAGTTCATTGCAGTCATTAAATATCATGTAAAAAAAACACACTGCTTATAAAAAAAAAGTTTTTGCGTTTTGTCAGATGCAGAAACTGTGTTGAGCCTCTGTAGCCCCGTTTCAGCTTTGGTCAGTAACCCTCCCTACCTGTTCTCAGAGGATATGACGTCACTGGAACCTGAAATCTTCAGGTGACTAAAACACATTGAGCCACTCTCAATTTATATTTTATTTAATACCCCTCTAATTAGCATTTCTAAGCATTATAAACACTTAATAAATGGCAATAATACATTGTAATAAACTATAATGCAGTTTAAATGTTTAATGGATTTGTCAACAATTACACCATAACTGGTGTATAAACAGTTATATTGATAGTACTGTTTTAAATGGATAATGATGTAATGGTACACTTCAAAATGTAGGAAGACGATTCATCCAATATGATTATAATATGTCATCAAGCATTCATTAACTGTTTATATACCTGTTATTCATACTTAAATGATAAAGAGTTATTAAGAAAAACATTATATTGATAAACACTACAGGGTAGCTGCATTTATTCTCCATGAGAGGATTAAGCTACTACCTTATTTTATTTTGGATAACAAACAACATATTCCCAAGATGTAAGTTAATCAATATTAATGTTTCATTTACAGGTAAAGGCTATGGAGGGAAAGTAAATTTAGTTTTAGCCAAGGCTAGCCATGGCTATCTCACTAGCTATCTTTTAGCTATGTTTTGTAGAAACTGCAAATTTAACATACTATTTTCTTTTACATTATCATTTTTTATGGCATAAGGACATTTTACGTGCTAAAACCTTCATATTCTGTTTTTGACTAAATACATAGTTACTGGCTGTGTAGACATTATAGTGTGTTAAACTGTGCTGTAAATAATTTAGTTACTAAATTATAAACGGGGGGTTTCAGATGATGATGATGATAATAACAATAATAATAATAATAATTTTAGAGTACTTGACAAAAATTGTACCTGTGTACTAAAGCATGTTAAAAATAAACAAAGCACCAAACCTTTCAAAATGCATAAAATGAATTTGCATCTGTGCATAAGGTGTTCTTAGAAATGTATTTTCTTGTGATGTGTGACTATAAATGAATGTATTTAAGAGATATATAGCTACTGTATACCCAGGTTTGAAGACCATGCTGCTTTAGATGGAGGGAAAGATGGCCTAAAAGTGATCAGACAGATTTTGAGTCTGGCTCCACAGATTCTATCAAATCATGGGTAAGGAAGCCAGCTGCTCGACACAAGGTATACACACACACACATACAACCCCACCTGGGTTTAATTCCTAACGGCGTCGGCTTGTCACAGGAACAGCATGTTCTGAGAAACACACGTATCGTGTTGCCTCTGTAATGAGTTTAGCTTTTTAAAAGACTTACAGTGAATACAGTTCCAGACGTGTGCCACTGCTCTCATCTCAAGGTTGCTTCTGATAATCCTGTCCTTTCAATAACTAAATTTTGAATGCATGGTGTGCTCTCTTCCTGGTGAATAACAGTCGTGTTTACTTGGAGGTGGACCCCAGACACCCCGTGCTCATTCGACAGTGGGTGGAGGCGAATGTGGCAGAGATGCATTATGTGGAAACACGGCACGACATCACTGGCAGGTCTGTCTGGAGAACCTCTCAGCTTTTATGTTAGTCACCTGGGCATCATTAAAAAATTTTAACCTGCTGTGACTTCATGCTAAAGTTGTATGTGGATCCTTTAGGCCCATTAGTGTCTATTTGATATAAAATAAACGGCTACGCTGACAAAAGCTTAATCTAATTACACAATTAAGCTTAATACACCCTTGATTTGTGGTTCGTTCACATCAGAGTCTGATACACTCCATTTTGTTTTTGTTTCCTAGGCCGCGATTCTGCATCCTTCAGAAAGAGAAGTCAAACAAGCACCACAAGCTGGATCTGTATTGAGAAACTGAGATCCTATTACGCTGGCTTTAGCCCAGGTCGCCTCAAGCTCAGTTCCCCTACCCCCACTGATCCGCCAAGCACGTGCTCTCACTGATTTAATCACCCAAAATTCACAATTTGCATGGGCTAAAATCACTTCATGTAATTGCTCCCCTTTAATTTGGTAACATTTGTGATCACCTCCTGTGCCACATTAAAAGAAAAGGGTGCGAGATGGTACAGAAAACAGGCTCAAAGCTGAAGGTAATTACAGAGGCTTTTCTTGGAACCCTCCCTCTCAGAATCTCACCCTCCTCCCAGGAAGCATTCAGTAGTTCTGTGAATCCGCTGATGAACGGTCCTCCCCTTCGCTTGTCCACTCGCTGACTCAGATGCTGGCTGTATGCATTGTTGAGCAAAAACACACACAATGCTGCCTTTACTTTCTCAAACAATCTGCATCTCTCGCAGACTTATGATTCAAAGGCCACAAAGTCTCTGTGTTTCAAAGGTGATTGAGGGCGAAAATATTTTGTAAGTGTCACAAGAGTAGCCATCATGTGGTGGTTAATAATGATGATGACAGTATTTCTCGTTACCCTGTGAGTAATACTGCCATTTTAAGCAACACAAGAGAAAAAGAATATAAACAAAAGCAAGTTAAACGCCAATTGCTTATTTTAATAGAAAAATGTACACATGTAAAAAGTAGAAAAAATAAAATGGCTTAAAAGGTGTCTCAATGGAATCAGTGGACTTCTTAGGAACAGTATATACATCCAGGACTGATGAGGGAACAATGGATATGGACAATTGCCACATTCAGCATAAAGTTAGTGTAGAGTACAGTAGTGAGCTTTGCTCACAAGATGTCTTTTCTGGGGGTACTTCATCACCCGGTCCTTGACAAATAACTGAATTTGTACAAATAACTGAATTTGTACACATTTCGTCAGCAAAAACACGACCCTGTGTCCAGTACTTTCATGACTGGCCTCTGCACTGCTGCAGCAGCAGTGTCCTTTTCCAGGCACAAAGGACCTGTTTAACAGTTATTATTCTTTTAAAGTCAGCTGAGATTCAGCCTGTTGGTTTGCCTCATACCTTGAAGGGATAGTCCTGTATGTAACGCAGCAGAGGCTTCGGGAGTGGTAGCTGGTCAGGACAGTCAGAGTGTCTGTTAATGATGAGCCTTGTGAGGTGCTGTAAGGAGGGGAGGCCCTGGGGCTTGTACACGGCCCGCTTCAGTTTTAATACCACAGATGTCTCCTCAATTGTCTGCTGAGAGGGTTTTGAAGGGGCCTCCTCCTCCACCTTCCCCTCCACTGCTTTCCTCTCTGGTCCCATGTAGTGTTGCACCAGGCTGGGCACATTGGGGAAGGACGACAGGCTGGGCCGGGCCGGGGAGCTGGAGTCGAGCAAAAACTGGGCACCGCTGTACTGGATCCGTATACTGGTTGGACCGCGTGCTGTCCTGACCGAGAGGGTCAGCATGTACAGAGGGTGGCTGCTGTCACGTACCAGAAAAGCTCCTTCAGATGCCTCTTGAAGTGCAGCATGGGCCTGAGCCGCAGTTACAGCTCCCCAGTACCATCCTACACAAACAGATTCCTAAATGTTAGTCACTGAACAGTCAGTGCTGTACTTTTCTCTGTCCTGTAAGTTCAATTAATGTAATTTAACTAAGTCCCTTACAAACAGTCTGGAACAGTTTTCAAGAATCCTTTTTGTTAGGTTCATTTGTTAGGTAGGCCTACTGTACCTGAATTTTCTAGATAGCAGAAGTTTCTGGCAATTGCCCGCAGGTCCTTTGTGGGGTCCCATAGCGGCGGGGTGCTTTGAAGGCAAGGGGAAGGAGGTACAGTTCCTGCCCGCATACCCCGTGGGGCTTCGGTGGACGGAGCAGGGGGCAGAGGAGCTCTAGGACTGGAAATAAGATGGAAAATATGGTTAAGAAGGCATAAAAAACACAGGGCTTCCATCTTGATGCATAATCTATTATTTGTAGTTAAGTATTTATTGCTATATAATAAGAATAAGACGATGTGAAGTTTTTTTTCTTATTTATAATTTTATAATCATTGTTCTATTTTGTGTTACATCATGTGTTTTGTTGTTTGTCTGTTATTGATGGTAATCTTGGCCAGGACACTATTGAAAAGAACATTTTGATCTCAGACAGGCCTTCCTCGTCAAATAAAGGTTACCTAAATAAAAAGTACCTAATAATTATTACTATTTATGAATTTCTGATGAACATTTTTAGTGTTTATAGCCTAATTAGTGCAACAGGCCATTAATTGCGTTTGGAATTGGTAGACTTTAGTTAGAGACGGTTTTCACACTAACATACATGGTTACATACACTCTTATTTAAAGACACTAATTAAGAGGCTATACTGATTTTACAAATACATTATGTTCTTAACACAAACAGAGAAAACACAGAAACAAAGAAAAGTCGACTCACCCTGGTACACAAAGAATCATGCTATTTCTCGAATCCTCTGGACTAAAAACCCGTCAGTGTTTCTTCAGAAAATAAGACCGAGTCTATAAAGACAAAGAAATAAAAAAAACACCTCTAGGAGAAAGAAAAAGCTTTAACATCGGGTTGATATGAATAAGCTTATTATGCGCGAAATAAAGAGACGAAGAGCTCCGCGGGTCTGGTCCTGTAGTTTGGATGAGAACACCGGATAAAACGCAAAAACAGTAAAACCAGAATTCATTTAAAACGCGTTAAAAATGTCCGTAGCAGCGGGTTTGGAGTGTGCTGTCGCCAGAATGGCATCCAAATGTGTGAAGGACAGCGTCTAAAGGCTTGGCTTTTAAAATTTGCCGTTTCCTCGAAGTCTATTCTGAGAACTCCTCACAGCGCCGGCGGCTCTGACGTCACACCGGCCGCACCAACCGCCGCCGGTTGTTTAGCTTTGCGACAGCTGACGGCTCGGGTGTTGGCAGCGTTTTTCGGGGGTAAAGAGGTTCGTTTTACCGGTTAATTCTCGGGATACCGGAGTGGAGCCCCATCATTTTCTTTTCCGGCCGGTGTTGTGTGGCTCGCCTCCCCTCCGTTGCACCCGGCGGCTCCTGCCTTCGCTGAACCGGCGCTCGCTCCCAGGAATCGCGAGCCAGCTTCTCCCTATCCGCTTTCCAGGAATAATTGCAGGGCTGACTCCGCCCCGCCGGGCGGCCCCGACAGAGCCATCATTCTGGGAATTCACCGCCTCAACATTAAAGATAATAGGAATGCACACAGGCTGTTTCCAGTAATAAAACCTTGCCTAGATTTCCCCCGATCCTGGTGGAAAACACTGCGAGAGCTTTTCTCGGAGGTTTGTCGGAGTAATTAGGCCTAGGCTCGAGAAAGCGAGCTGTTATTGTGACGGTAAACTAAAAAATGTGTTAACACTAGGCTACCGTTAGGCCAGAGGAAATGTCTCACGAATTGTCCTGCTTTCTAACCCAGTCGTTGGATTATGATCAATTTGTTATGTGTTTCCAACTTTGTGTCCGAGGTTGAGGTAGAAACGTTAGACTAATGTAGCATAGAAATTTTATTTCTGCTCATTAATCTCTCGACATTTTTTTCCAATGTAGGCCCAGCTGTCTATATTCCAGCTCAATGGGCTATTTTAATTTAAATGGTTATAATCAGGCCAAATAAGGGCTGTTAGTTGAGTAGGCCCACTAATGATGGATTATCACCATGTTATAGCCTATAGGCTATCTGAGGAACATCTTGTTCAGGGCAAACGTTTGAAAAAATATGTATTCCAACAATAGTCTGAGCCATCCCTCTCACACACACGGGAGATTGGGAACAAAGCAACACGTGAAACTACGCGGTATCATAATCACAGCCATATCCACGAGCGTCTGCTGATCCCGAAGTTGAATCTCAACCTTTTCCAAGAAATCCTGAAATGAGTTTTTTTTTCTAAGAAGTCTTGTGGACTTTATCTATCCCTGCTGGATGCGGTTGAACAAATAGCCTGCGTTTTTCTTTTTAGTTTAGAAAGAAAAAAGAACACCACAGTTATTTTGGTTAAAAATCATTTTATTTTATTAGGCAAATTATAAAAACACAAAGCCACCGATCTCTTTCACTAAACCTGACCAAACTCTGTTTACAACAATCACATGCAGCACATGAAAACAACACCAGGCCTTCTAACACAATGGCAGGATTTCCAAATGAAGGTTGTCTTTATCTAGTTATTCCATTCCTGCCGTGCATAATGTGAAAAGGCAGCTCTGACTCTGGTGACATGAAAGATAATCCATCTGGATGATCTGGTCACTGGAGAGCATTGTAGGAGGCAGGCGGGGAAAATACCAAGAACCTGTAGATGAAAAGTACACCCTGTATGAACCTCCTATAGCTCTGTGTTCCCATTGAGGTATATTCTTTTATACCTGGGCATGATATCCTATTATTCAGTGACTACTTTTGAAAAGATCATTGCACTCATAGCACACTGGTGCAAGTTGGCCAAAAACATCAGGCTCTGCACACCATGGTTAATTGTATCTGTGGAGACTCCAGTGTATTTAAACTAAGCCAACTAATGATTAAATTGCACGTCCCACTAGTACTGTGTCAGCAGGTGTGCTCCATGTGATGTAAGCGTTGGGATTACTCTAATGTCAAACATTTAGAAAAGATCTAATGATTGAATGCTTGGTTTTAAAACATATGCATTGGACCGAAGTGTAATATTATTTCATATTTTTGAATTTTAAAACTCCTTTCTTGAATTTGCGTCACTGCTGTCTTACACTCTGCTGTTACTACAACTAGACGCATAAAAAGGCAGTTTTTTTTTACTGATGTTTGTTCTAACAATGTTGATTTTATATGATTAGTGGGCCAAGTTCCTAAAATCAGCTTTACACAGTTTACCCTCATGGTTTGTTGCTTGTATGGCCTTTATATGTTGTGAGTTCTCCAGGATATGTGTGCTTTTATTCATCTTGATAATAAGTTATAAGTTGCTGTCTGCTTTCTCTGCAAGTACTGCACTTTGGTAGTATAACTTTTGTTTGTAAAAAAACACACTCTCAATTGGTAAAGCAGATACAGAACAGAAAAAGCATATTATTATTGTTCCTATAACAAGTATCCTAATTCACCAGCAATTCACTACTTTTGTTTTCATTTCTCATACATTCATGAACAAAGTCGAGCCATTGTTTACTGTGTTTTAATTCTAAACTGCGCATTCATATATCTGAGCATTTTATTGTATCAGACAATGAAAAGTCCACCAGCAAACTTCAATCAAACTGCAACATTGGAACACTACTGCCTATTAAATAAAATAATCTCCAAAATATTTTATCTTTTGTTTTTCAAGACCTTCCTGAAGGTGTCTCACCACCTCTGTGTACACATTTATTTTAATCATTTCCAGCTGTGAATATCTCCGTCATTTCCATTATGTATATCAGCACCACACTCCCCAAATCAACACTACACACACCACATATTTACATACTGATTTCTTGAATAGAAATAACTTTTGGTGTGTGTACACTGAACTTACTAAGAATTAGTAAGTGGACTGAAGTTTGGGAAACAATGAATAACTGCTGTCTTCTTCCGATGTGAAGAAAATGGGCGTTTCCAGAAGATTCTGAGAAAAGCTCTAACTGCCTGGAATCCGCAATATAAATCCATCCGTTGTACGTTGGGAGAGAAAAACTTATTCAGCAGCAGACCTTTGTGCAGAGCAAACAGGCCTGGAGAGAACTGCTGAGTAAGGCTCTGCTCATTTAAAGAAATTCTTTGTCAACTTAAGGAATTTTAACTATTATTTTGTTGATTTGAGGGACAAAATCTGTAAAATAGTTTCTCCAGTGTGTGTGTGGTCATGCAGGCGGACTAAAAATCTTGGGTTGGGGTTATTAAAACTAAAGCTTATTTATGCATATTTTGTTGTAGGTCATAATGGTTCAAATGTGACAATATTTTTTGCTATAGGCTACTAGTAGTTTGCCTGCCATTCCAGTGACAGCAATGGTGGTTGGTTGAACCACTTTGGTCCAGATTGAAATATCTTAACACCAATTGGATGGATTGCCATAAAAGTTAGCACAGGCATTCACATTCGCAATCAGTACAGAATGCTACAGATTTCCTTGTTTTGCTCTAGCACCACCATGAGGTTGATGTTTTGGTTTTCAGTGAAATGTCTCAACAATCATTGGGATGGCCATGAAATTTGGTACAGACATTCATGTTCCCCTCAGGATGAATTGCAATACATTTGGTCATCCCATAACTCCTTGTGTATTGTCACCAGTAGGTTAAAGTTTTCACTTTTCCGGTGATGTTTTGACATTTGGTGTATTGGAACACAATTTTGCACAGGCAGTCAGTCTGGTTGAAGCTCCTCTTTGGTCCAGACTGAAATATCTTAACAACTATTTAATGGATTGCCATGTTAGTTAGTACAGACATTCATGGTACCCAAATGATGTTTACTGATAGACTTTGATATAGTCAAATTATTTGTCCAATACCTGCAAAACTAATGACATTTCCCTCAGCTTCAGCTGTATTTTTTGTTCATTGGACCCCAGAAAGATTAGCAACCACTGCTAGGGAAGCTAATGGAGTTCCAAAAATGAATCAAGACTAGTAAATGTTAGCATGCTAGCATTTGCATGCATACAAGATTGTTAGCATGGTAAATATCATAGGCTAATATCATCTGTCTAATTAAAAACCCCTTCAATTGAGATTTTATTATCTCATGTCTAGCCTTGTAGAATATTTACAGATATCAACAAGATATAACAAGTATTTCCATGCATGAATTTTTGCATGCTAAATAAAAACACACACATTTGTTCCAAGGTCTAATACCATGGTATAAACAAGATTTTATTTAGTATCTCTTTTCTTATTGTTTATTTCTTACAAACATTGTTGATATAAAACTTGTATTGAAGGGTAGGCACAAGTATGCCTATGCATTAACAATTCAGTACAAGTTTGTTAACTGCAGATTTACTTATAGAAGAACAGATTAGCTTTACAATAACAAGGCCATCTGTTCAGGTTGAAACCCAGACAGAAATGGAGGAAGTCATCAACAAACATCAATGATTTTTTTTGGCTTTTACATACTTTGTTATGATTTCTTAGACATGTCATATACAGTATATATTTGCCTCATTTGTCTGTGGGAGGGAAGATCATTTATCAACATATTTTCATCAAAGACATATTTGTTATACAGCGCAAGTGTTTCAGTACACAAACAGCAGGGAAAAATCCATCACTGTGCTCGTTCCCTCTGGGCCTGACGAGGTGTTAGTGGGTCTGGGGAAATGGGGAAGGGCTGGCACTGCAGACTCAACTATAGGAGAAATATGTCCGCCTCTAGCTGTCCTGTATGGTGCCTCCTGTCCCCTTAATGAGGCGCTTGTGCCCCCTTTTTCCTGCTGGGCCGCGGGGCTTAGCAAAGGCTTGTTTGTGGGCGTGCTGCTTAGGATGGACCTCGTCATACAGAAAATCCTCTGTTAGTTCATCTCCGTCATCAATCTCCAACTGCATGTAGATACAAAAATTTAAATAAGCACACATGTAGACAAAATGTAACAGAGGTTGCGTAAGGTTGGAACTGTACACCACCAGGTTTTGAGTCTAAAAACACATAAATGAGCCTTTAAAACACCCACAGCATGTGAAAAAAACACAAAGAACACAACCTCTGTGTTCTCAGTGGTAGCTACAACCCTTCTTTTATACAGTCTACATTACAACCCTGTATGACACTGTGTTATGTGATTTTTTTATCGATCTGTTACCTTTTTAGCAATTTCCAAATGGTAAACTTTCTCCACCTCCTCCAGTAGTCGACTCTTGCAGCTGGAATACAACATCCGCTCCTTAATGCTGCAGCTGTATCCTGGCATTGAGTATATGAACACTGAAGACAGGGAAAGAGGAAGAAGAATTATCAATAAATATTTTATGTTGATGTAGATCAGTGGAAGGTCCTAAGATTAAAGGGGTAAAAAGGGAAAATGTATAGGCCTACATAAAAGTAAAGCTACAATCTTCTTGTTAAATACTTTCACCCTTTTCATGCCTTTGAAAATTCCTCACATGAAACAATGAGAGAAGGAAAATCAATATTTGACTATGTGACATACCAACAGATTCCAGGTAGTCTCCTTCGTGGGAGTGTTTGTAAAGGAAGAAGTGGTATCTGGGAGTGTCTTTGGGAACTCTGTGGGGCAAATCTCGGGTTTCTGTCGGGTTGGAATGGACCAGCTCGATTGTCTCCTTCTCTACATCCAACCTCTACAACACAACAATAATGCACAGTTTACAGAATGCAGCACTCTGAAAGTACAAAATCACAAGTCTAACATATCAACACTCCTGACACCATACTTCTCCTGATGATGGTTTTTATATAAAGCTGGAAGCTTGAGACTGCAGTAACCTTCCTATTTTATGAATTCCTCAGGCTCACCAGTTGTATGTAGTTAATGCGTTTTTGGGCAAGTTGCTGTAGGGCCCTTTTGGCTGTCTCCTGCAGCGGGAAAGCGAGGCCCTGAAGTGTCTGGTGCTTACTCTCCACGCTGATCTCTGTTTTCACCTGCAGGGGGCAGCAAGCAGATACACAAATCTTTTCAAGCCTCTACACAAAGATCTGAGCAGTGTTTAAAGGAATAATATAGCTTTACATTTTCTATAATGAGATACAAATGTATTTTTCTAATATTATCACTTATTACAACCAACAGATATTCTCTCCGTTTCTTTTCCCATCTACCTCAAATCTGAACTCACATTAAATATACACATACATTGAATAATGTATCAACATACCTGTTTGACCCGGCCCTGAAAAAGCAATCACAACAAAAAGTTACATTTGGCACATGTGTTAAAAAAGAACCCGCCCACTTAAAAAGCTATGATGACAACACTGCTGAGGGCGTGTTGACCTCTCACCTCTGTGATTTTGATCCTCTGGAGCTCCTGCTCAGCTAATGTGAGGGGGGCAGGACCGGAGCAAGATGACACATGACGCTGGTAGCCCAGCAAACAGATGTCCTCCTATGTTGCAAGCAAAACAAGAGGCCTTTTTACATGAAGCACAGGGCATACACCTCTTAAAGCATGTCATCACAGCAAAACAGGCAAATCTGTAAGGGTGAATTTTAATGACTTTAAGTATTTCTGACCTCAGCTGTGCCGAACATCTCATATTTTACATGGCCACCCCCAAACTCTTTCTTCACTGTGGCACGCGTGGCAGCATACAACATCTTCTGTTTCACCTGCAGCCAACAGAGGGGAAAACATCTGTACTGCTGGTGTAGCCTACATGTTGGGCTCAGGTGAAGGTTGAATTCAAGGCAGAGTTACTACATTGCTTACAAACACATTGGATCATAACCCTGATAATGTCATCATAGTTATCTCGGACTTGGATTATTCTCGTTTTCACAGACAATATTTTTATTGTTTTTTTTAAAAACATTTTATCAAATGTAGCTTCTTTTTAGTGGGTTTAATACAATGTTACACTGTAGGACACACTTTGACATTTTATCTTTCCCAGTATATGATATGTACCTATTTGGTTAATCATTTGGCACTTTGTTTTTCTGTGGTTTTGTATCTGATTCATCCTTGCATATGGAATTATTTTATTGAATGACACATATCTACTTTAGCTTTTCATTATTTGTTAACATATTACTGCTTCCAACTAGAGCATATTTTGGAAGGCCTCATTGACCTTAATTGGGATGGATCCTGGGAGGTGCTGCTGGTCCCTGAGACTGGTGTTTTTTCTCTGGCTGTATGAATTTCTCCTTATGAAGGTCTGAGAATAAACACGTCTAAAGTGAGTACAGTGATCCACAGTGTGCAGGACTTTTTGGGTCTTCCAAAATATCACGGGACTAGGGACTAAAAGTCAGGTTACTGCCACCTCTGCTGCCCCAACTCGATGGAAGTGCAATACTAAATTGGTGGATTCTCTTTTAAGTTTGAGGTTTATAATTTGAGGCTTTCACCTACCAACAGCAATGTGTGTATGTAGCGTCAGTATGTGATGCAGAATAAAGAATATGTGGTAAAACATACTGGAGACTGGTCAGGTGACCACGATATGAAGATCCACTCGTAACCCTGTGCATTCTGGGAGTCGAGGCGGTACAGGATGTAGCAGGGCTCCTGGTCGTCCAGAAGAGGAAGCAGAAAGTGATCATAATCCTGGTCCCAGCTCTTTTCCGGCTCTCTGTAGGCCCCAAGCACCAGCTGCTCTGAAAATCAGACAACTTCTCATCACATACCATACCCCCCTATATGTAGCATGCCCTTTGCAGAGCACATTGACGCACACAGTACGGGTTAGATACTATAGTCTACAGTCACAGCCAGTAATCATTTACATGTAAAACAATTATTGCAATGACATTATAAAAAGCAAGTTTACTGCCGAAATTGCTCTAACGTTATATATAATATAATCTGGTCTGTTTAGCATAGAAGAAAATCTATTTTCCCTACTCCATCACATCTTTATATCTGTTCACTAAATTATTTAATTAGATTTTTTAAAGTATTTTATGATCCTAGGGCCGTTCGATATGACAATATAAATTTAATTTAAAATTATGCCCTATAGTTAATTTCGTGTCGCAAATTCTTTACGGCAATATTTTTGTATGGGGACGAAGCTAAACTTCACTTTCCTCCATGTTTGTTTATTCTGAATTTAAATGTCTGCCCTGCACCAAGCGTCGTCTCCACGCAATAATATTGCCGTAAAGAATGAGATCACTATCGCACAGCCCTAAATGATCCCTAGCAAGTCCCTGCATTTTGAGATCAGTATATATTTATACGTCCAGTATAACTATAGTATATATTATAGGGATAGTAAGTGATTGTAATCCAATACACTTTTTGTTAAATTCAGGGAATATTTCCTCACAGTTTGTTAGCTCTCTGTTTTGTGTGTGCTCTGAAAAAAAATCTGGTTTTCCTACACAGCCCCGGCACTGTAAATAGAAAACAAATAAAGTGGTGTGGACCTTGCCACACAACATTGTTCCAGCCAATCAGCAACAGGTGGTGTTAGTGCTCAAGCACAGGAGCAGTGGTAGAGAGAGTTCTATACACGGCACATCAGAACGTGCTGGACTCTCCACACTGTGAAGAAGGAGAGATGGCCAAGAAACAGCCAAAGAGGAAAAGGTCTTATGATTTTAAATAGAGAAGAAAGTTATATGACCAGGCATAGGCAACAGCGTTTCAATGCTGAAGAAACCTATGAGATTTGAAATTTGGGGGGTTGGAGCTTCTGAGGGAGCACTAAAGGGAGGCAGATGAGATCAAATATCAACAATGCTTCTACAGAATCACTTACCCTCCCTTTAATATGGTGGCATGTAAACACAAATACAAACTCACCACCTAGACCACTTCGTCAAAAAAAGACAATAACTAGTTATCAACCCTTATTTAATACAACAGCCAGGAGCCACTAATGAACCAGCGGTATCGATGATCTTGGAAAACGACCCAACAGAGGCTAAATAACTTAGTTTCCCTACCAGTCAGTCATGACTGAAGAAGTCTCTTGGATGAGGGACGAAACGTCTTCTAGTATCTTCAACCAAGTCCAGTTGCCCATGATTTTAATTATGACATGGATGACTGAGAACCTTCACAGATATCAACCCTTATCTCTTTTTATTTGGAGACAGCAACTAACAATTATTTCCATTACTGATTAAACAGCCAATTATTTTTTCAATTAATAGATTGCTTGGTCTATAAAATATCAGAAAATAGTGGAAATGCCTTCAAATCTCTTTGTTTTGTCTGACCAACAGTCCAAATTTACAGTATTCAATTTACAGTAAGCTAGAACCTGAGAGAGTGTGTCATTTTTGGTTGATTATCAAAATATTCCCCAACTTTCAGCTCCATCGTCAACAATCACCACGGCCTCATTGCTCACCACTTAATGTGTAAACCCGCTTAGCTAAGATCTCGTGAAATCTCGTTGATGTTGTTGCTCCATATTCTGTAGTGAAAAGAGGCAAAGACGAACGTCTGGGTTAAAAAGGTTACTAGATTCATTTCTGACTGACTCGACAGGATGAGGTTAAATCTCCTAATGAAGCTGACCAATGAAACACACAAAACATACTGTGTATACACCTAAAGTCTCATGTCCTTATGGGGTGCAGGGGGATTTCCTGACTGTCTCTCGGGACATGTTGCTATTCTGGGGCACAACACATTCCAGCTCTGCACAGACACATACTTTCCATCAGCCATTCTCTCTTAGTCCCTCTGTCATTATATGTATGTCCATGTTAGTATTAAACTGTCTTTAAATGACTCACTTTGGGTGCAGTGTATAGTCTTTATAGCCTACCTTAAATTTTAAAACAAAGTAATATAGTCACAAGACATGCTATCAGGGGACAGTTGGTTGATAGGAAACCAATTGGCATACCAAGTCAGCAATGATGAAACTGGCTAGAATGAACTAATTTTCCCTTTTGACAATGGAACGAACACAAGTGTCACTGGGCAGCAGCAGCAAGCAACCCTGTCTCAAGTCACATGTCGCTCATAATTGCAAAGTGATGGCCGGGAAAACCACAGTGCTTCAGTAATGAAGTAAAGTTTTGCCGTAGGACCAAGCTCGTCTCTGTTGACATCAATACTCCAAATATGAAACCAAATATTTAATATGATAGCCCAGTCTGCAAAGACAGCCCCCAAAAGTCCCAGAATGCATCTGTCATGAATCAGATTACAGCTGGTCAGATACCAAAACAAGATATAAACACCCCATCAACATGTCAGTCCACCTTCACAATCTGCTACGTCGAAACCTATTGCCTCACTGACTGTTTTTCACAGACTGCTCACCTGGCACGCTGAGCGTCTGTTCTCACACAGCTGATGCAATCCTCTTTTCCTAGAAGTTAGACAAAGTCTGTATACTGGTTGACCAACATTTTTGGTTTTGTCTGTGACCCCTTATTAAACAAAGGCAATGAGAATCGTACTCACATGGAACAATATGAGAATTGAAAAATACTTGTACTGACACTTAAGTCACAGAGCTAAGCATCTGTTTGTTCTTTGAAAAACCCAGAAGGTTGTTTAGCAACACTTAGGCCTACTGCTGTTCTGAATGTATTTCCAAAATCTTTAAAGACACTTTTAACCATCTGGAAGGAACAATATTGACTTTAAAGCACAATAGTAATGATTTTTAAACCCGATTCCTAAGTCTTGAATACAAACAAAGACAATAGCTTGAAATAAAATATGTCCCTGCTCAGTTTTTATGTGAAACAAAGTGTAAAACATTTACAATCAGTTATATAGGCCTACCTCTATACTAATGTTACATTGTAGGCTATTATATATTTTTCTCATCCAAAATAACGGTTTTTTTGTGGGTGTGGGTTATACAAAACAAAGAAATATGTGATTTCTGGCTCCCTGCATTAGGAAATAAAGTTGCAACATCCTAAATGTGGTTCAGAAACATCTTTTGTAGCGTGCAGCAAACAGAATAGAGTAGAAAAGTGTTTTAGAAGTAGGCGTTCTTAGAAAACAGTCTGGGATTTTCAAAGATCACTGGTAATTTATTTGTCATAAAATGGATGCTAGCTCTGTGACTCCAATGATACTGGTTCTACATGAAAGGCACAAACTGTGGATAGAAGTGCTTTTCCGCATTCATGTGACTACATTTTAGAGTAATGAAGAAGCAAAAACTAAATAGAATCATTTTGTTTTAATAATTCCTACACAGATCTTTGCCACTCATTCAGTAATCTCACTACACCTTACGAGGGTCCCGACCCTCAAATTTTAAACAATTGGTCTATATACATGTAGTTTAAGAAAAAGGGTTTCAAGCTCATGAAAAGCACCAATAGCTAACTAAACACTAATAGCATAGATGATTTATCCCGTCCTACCGAGGGCCAACTCATCCACATTACTGCTCCAGCTCTCAGTCATGTGTCACTCACCATCTTGAATGCGCACCTTGATGAAACGCACTGCTCCACCTCTTGCCCTGGCCAGGAACTCCCTGAGCTCTGGCGTCACTACTAGTGCGAGAAACATGGCGGGTCAGCGGCCTCTTCCTCCCGCCGAGCGCTGTAGCAGGGGTGTCGAGAGACAAAGAAACAATAGACAGGAGTGGAACTCCACAGCACCAGGCCCAAATATTCAGTCCAGCCAAGAGACACTAAAGTCCAACCAAAGGAGCCTGTCGTAAAACCGTCCTGTACTTCGGAGTGTGACTAAGTACTGTAATGACGAGGATCCCTGAGTGTGTCTGGACTCGTTGAGTGTGTGAGACGGTGTGAGAAGGGACATCGCTCAAGTAACTAGGACAGTATCATGTGCACACAGTGAGGGAACCTGATCACCTCTCTCCCAAATTTAGCTCCCACTGGCGTGACTGTCCAGACCTGGTCACTGCTCTGTGAAACCCCCACCATACACCAGGGCCTACAGTGGAAAGTGTGTGACCTGTAAACGTAACTACCAACTTCTGATGCATTGTCATAAGTTGGATATTGGTATGATGGTACCTGTAAGCTCTCTGGGACCAGCATTCATTCACTGCACTATTGTTTACCATTAAAAATGTTAAATATTACCATGTATTGTTCAAGCAAAAGACCAAAATTATGCCATGTATGAATTACAAATTACAATATATTATCACAACAAAAATAAACATTTTTTTTTTTTTTTTAAAAGGAGCATATTGCTTTGGAAAGTTTACACAACTAGTCAACCTCACACCTCTCAACTTACTCCACACATGACAACTGTGATGGTCAACAGATTGTGTAAGAGGTTTTTGATGTCATAAATCACTTGGCCATGCTGACAGCATTTTCTCAATCTCAGATCCACTTCTAAAACTTTCTTTTTAATTTGTATTTCTGCTTTAAATATTACAATCATTTAAACTGAAATGGATCAAAAACTGAATATTTTCCCTAGTGATAACCCAGAATAATTTGTACTTAATTTCATTGACTTCCTCAATGATAAAGTGAACTAGGACAAAAATAAAAAACAAGTTTCAGTAGGTTTGAATGAATATATTCGTTTAAAAAAATACAGAAGATAATCAGTGGTTGAATAGGATAAACATTTCTTGCAACATTGGATCTCTCAATGACTTGTGTAATCAGCATGTACACACATACCACAATAATAAAGTTGACAAAACCAACATCTTACAAAGAAACGGTTTAATGTTAAATAGAAATATAAAAAACAAAACAAAAAACAAAACAACAAGGACAGACAAATGATCTATTTCTGCAAACTACTTATTTACAATTTGAATTTCAAATGCTCCACTTCCTGTGAAATTTACACCCAGCTGGCTGTGCTGACACCTGCTGGTCACTTTGGCCTTCAACAGAAGCCTTCACTGTGTTGTCATCAGTCATCAATGGTGGGGAGCCAGAACGCCTGCAAGACCAGAAAGCATTCAAACGTTAAATCACGTTAGAAACCAAAAAACACAAAACGAGAATATCCAGTTTCCTTTCACACTGTCTTGCTTTCCATTTCCTCTGTCTGCCATCAGCAGAAAATGAATTGAACACAGAACTGAACAACATGACAAGCTCACAGTCAGTCACGCACGGTTGTATTAAGTGTGTGCAGTTTTTAGATTGCCATCATTGTAGGCATCAAGGGTGTTACAAATAGCACAATAACAAAACGGTGCAATAATGTGATTAAGAAGATTAAGTCCATGAAATGCTCATGCCGTCCCCCACTCACCATGTTGGAGCAGGCGCTTGCAAACGTCATAAACTTTGGGTTGAACTGCAGGCAAGTAATCGGTCCTGTGTGCTTCCCGTCTAATAAAGCCACCTTCATCCCGCTCTCTGCGTTCCACACGTGTATCTTTCCGTCCTCTGAGCCTGAAATATACAGACAAACGAAAACAAACATTTGATGAAAACATGACTGGCACTGTGACATGAAAGTCCTGCATTCTTTTATTAACAAAATGCCTTTATTTGTCAAAAGAATGGTATTATAGATGGTATAAAAGATAAAGGGTCAAAATGTTAGCTTTCTTTCAATTAATCTATTTCCAACACTGAGGCAACAAAACAAGAGTCAGAGCGATCTTAACTTACCAATCATAACAAACTGAGAATCCGGAGTGAATGATGCCTCCAGTGTTACACCTTTACTGTTGTTGTAGCCCTGCAAGTAAATGAACAGCAGCACCCATGAGCTATGATTTTGTGCACATTAGTATTGCAACAGTGAACAGTTTTGTTTGGATGTTTTCAAATTATCATCTTCAAAAACATGAAAAAAATAAATAAATAACTTCACTGTTTTAATTTTTATCACTGATTTAGTCCCTGAACGCGTGTGATTCGACTTTGTGACGGTTTTCCAAACGTCTGTACTTTTCACTGACACACTGTCCTAACTGTATGATTTAGACATGAATCTGTCTTTGTTTTCCTTTTGAGTGATACATTTTCCCCACGTGTGGAGATGAGTCGTCTCTTACCCCAAAGGAATGTAGCACAGCACCCTTAAACGCATCTAAGATGCGAAGGGCTCCGCCATTAGTAGAAAGAAGAATAAGTTTTCCGTCGTTGCTAAACTTGAGTCCTGTCCACTCGCATGTCCTGTCATACTGAAGCTTGAAGGTTGCAAAGGGACCCTGTTGACAAGAGGATTCATTAATATTTTTCTCCAGTTAAATTAAGCTATATTCTGCAAATGTCAGATAAAACGTACATCATGATTGGTATCTCTCACGCACAGAAAAACTCTTACTTTGTCAAATGACCGCAGATCATAAAGCTTAACCATCTCTGAATTTATTCCAGAAGCAAAAATGAGGCCCTCTGGATCAAAGGAGCAAACCGGCTTCCCCTGTAGGTGCATCAGGCCCTAAAATTGGTAGATGACAAGATCTGCATTAGTCTTATCCCTCTATCCCAAGTTCATAGTATAAATTACATTACATGCTCACCAAATTACAACAAAAACGTACGTACTTGGCAATTAGGTGACCGCAAATCCCACAGTCTGATTGTTTTATCTAATGAGCCAGAAATAAATGTGTCGTCCACAGGAGACATGGAGAGAGATGTCACTCTGGTTACCAAAAAAATTGAAACAAACAACAAAAAAAATGAGACAACAGTGACTTCCAACTCAACATCAAATCAAGGTACAGACAGGCCAACATATCTCTCACCTTTTGTTATGCCCAGGAAAGTAGCGGATGTATTTGTTGTCATGAAGTGACAGGTACCGGATAGTATCTTCAAGAATAATAACAAAATTACCAAGTCGTACATCGTATTTCTGATTCTGAAACATGACCAGCAACAGCAAGAAAGAAGCTGGCATCCTGATGAGTTGACTCAACCGTGGGCAAGGCAGTCATTTGTACAGTTAGCTCCTGTATGGGGCAGAATCACAGACCCTCAAACTGTACAAACAACTACCTCAGACCAAAGTGAGTAGTGTCCCCTCAATCCAGCAGCGGTCCACGGGGGTATGGCATCTTGTAAACATCAACCACTGGCCAAAATCTCAACAGTCCAAGCAGTTAAATACATAATATTGTAATTGATGTGTCAAGAAAAGACCATGTTTGGTATTTTGATGAATCTAATAGAGATTTAACTTGAATGTTATCTTCTTCTGCATTACAGTGAAGCGACTGAATTAACTAAACGTATACGACTGTTCTAGCTAACTGAAATGCACAACAAATAGCTTTTCTTCTTTGGCCCTATATTTCCACTATTAATGACTTTTTCCATTATTAATGACCGCACACATCTCACATTATCATCACACGTACTGAGTTAAAAAAGTATTTGACTCTTTGATTAATTCAACAACATGATATCAACATTCATTATCTCCCTGAGCACAAACTGAAACTTGTTACCAAACACAAAACTACCAATAAGTAATTGTGCGTCAACATACCATCGATTTTGTTGGAACTGTAGACCACAGTGTTTGCAGCATGTGTGTACCTGATCAGATCCACTCCGTACTTTTTACTGTAGAGAGTCCTCTTGGGTCTGCCATAAATCAGATTATGTGAAGAAAAAAACACGACAACGAATAAGCATTTGATCAAAGCTATAATCAAAAACATATCAATCCATACATTACAGAATTATATTACAGAAACATTACAGCCTCATTGCAATTTGCTTTTTCTTTACTTTATATCTTTTAGTACTGAATATTGAGAGATTTTTGGCTGCTGGTCAGCAATTTTAAGAGACTGCTTTGAGCTCTGACATTAAAGGATGACCTGTAAATCAGATAAATACTGATAGCTGTAGTGCTGCAACTAGCAGATATGTCCATTATTAAGGTTCCTCGCTCATTCCTTATTCTACAAGTGTCAGACATTAAACAGTGGAAAAATGCAGGTGCACAATTTAAACTTGTTACGTTTTGCTTGTTTTGTCCAGCCTCTAAAACCCTAAGATACCCAATTTACAATACAATTTATATGTTTTTTAAAAATGAAAAGAGAAGCTGATGTTCACACTGGAGAAGGCTGGTTCCAGCTCTAATGTACGATTAATCAATTACCCAATTATCAAAATGGTAAGTCATTAATTTTCTGTGGATCTACAAGTCGTTTCAGCATATTTTAATCAAATATAATGTTACTGATCGACTAATTGATCATTTCATTATTTACAAGTTGGAGGCTCTGTTCCACCAACTTACGGTTCCAAATAAACATACGTAACGTTAACTATTAACGTTAAGTTACTAACGTTATATTAAACTGTATCCAACTCTCGAGTTAATGGCACAAATTAAGGTCGATTTATAATATGTTGGACACGTAGCATATTAATCACAAGCACATTTAGACACAAGAAACTGAAATAATTACTGTTGCAGATTTTTTTCAACTGCATGCACATCTTACATCTCTTACAATTGCTGCAGAGTAACGTTATCATCGCAGTGCAGAAGGCCTCTAGCATAGCACAGCTAACGTTAGCATAGCAAGTAGCTAACGTCAAAAACAAATAGAGGAAAATGGACAGAAACCGCTCTTACTTTCCCTCTTGGCAGTCGTACAAGACTAACGAATCGTCGTCGCTGCTGGAAATAATTGTTTCTCCGTTTGAACTGAAATCGAAGCAATTGATTTTGTCTGAATTTTCTCGAAACACCTTAGCAACTCTGAAGCTCCGCAGCACATTGTCCGTCAGCTTCATGATGGCCTCTGTGTCTGAGGGGAAGCAGGCCCTCGTTTTACTTTAAAGCGTCTTACAAATCTCACTTGTGCCAATTAGTGTGTATATATATATTTATATATATGAACTGCGGCTGTTCGTTTTTGTAAGAAGTGTAACGTTACTTCAAAAACAGCCACGAAAGCCCGCCTGTGATACTTTTGGTTCACGGGATTGAGGAGGGAAGGAAAAGCACCGCCTTCGCCACGTCGGTGACGCGCATTTCCACCATCTGACACGCGCATTTCTCGGAAACCACGCGACATGATAGAGTTGGATGTCATCGCGAGAGTTGGATGTCATCATCATCATCATCCGTGATGTGTGTGCTTGGGAGTCCAAAGTAACATAAACAACAGGCATAGCGTTATTACCCAATACAGTGAATTAACAATACAAAAACCTGCTCACAGAGGCACGTGAGGATAAAATATATCTATTTACTCTGAACTGGACAATTGATGTGTCTCTTTGCCATCGAGTCTGGTTTCATCTTATTTGCACGTCTGAAACAGTGTTAGCAACTGCTCCCTCAAGCCAGCATTTTGTGTCATGTTTACCAGCTTGTTTTGTCAGTCTGCTCAATTTTCTGTTACCTTCTAGGTTTTTCTCCAGGCAGCAAAATGGACGCAGGAGTAGTGAAGGACAAAATAACGGCAGGAGTTTTTCCCTCACTTACAGGAAGGTCTGAGGTATGAACCTGGTATTAAACGACTTTTTTTCCTGTTATAGGCCTATTTATTTAACTGCTAGAGTCGGTTTAAAAACAAAATCAGTTCGATAAAAGTTTAGCCACCATTTTGACCTGTAAACATCAGCTCGCCTCGATAACGTTACGTGTGGAGCACAAGAGATAAGGTACGCAGCATAAAATAAACTCTACTCTAAAAATATTGAGATTATACAGCAAGTGGTACCATAGTACAAGTATTATGTACTTGTAATATGGGTAATGTGGATAAACTCACTATATCACTATCTAATTAATACAGTTTCTGGAAAATGATTAATAGATATAACCACATGAGAATGGCTTATTTGGCTCAAACGATACATGACAAATCTTCAAATTGGTGCATTGGCTGATGATTTTACATTCAATGTAATTTGCTTGACCTGTCATTTCTACAAGTGAGGGTACAATGCACACTACCATATGCCTCACTGAGATGTTTGGTTTTCAAAAGGAGAAGGTTTTCACAACTTGTTTATTTCCACAATAAGAAAACATGCATTGCAGTGTAAAAATAGAAGAAATAAATGTGCATTGTCCAAAAAAAGCTAAGCTAAAAATTATATATATAATATTATATTCCATGATATTATTATATTTTGAATTGTCACCTGCCACCTGAATTGTGTTTCCCTTTATATAAATAAAGACATTTCCACCAGAAATTGGTGTAGAAAATTTCACCAGAATGCAGGAAATTATGTTTAATGCCCAAAATTTTCTTGGGGAGGAGCCCCAGACCCCCCACTCATATATTTCTGCATTTCATATTTCTTCAAAGTAGTCCTCAAATTTGTACTTGTCCTGTTCTTGTGAATCCAATATTGTGCTTTGCCACGTCTCGTGTATCATCACAGCACTAATCTGAGCCCTTACTCCACAACTTTTCAACACAAAGTGACGCCCTTGGTAAACTAGCTTAAGTTTGTGCACCATTTGAATTACTGCAGCATGAATGGCTCCCAAGTCTGTCAGATACTATGCTCATGAATTTAAACACTGTGTTCACTGTTGTACGAATGTCTGGTATCACTGAGAACTCTTTTTTGTTCACCCAGTCTACAGACTACTAGACAGAATGTAGCTGGGTGGTCAGTGGTTTGATGTGTCCTGTGGTCCATTCAAGTCAATCATTACACACAGGGTACACAAGTAGAGTCGGTCTCTGGTCAGATCTTTGCTACACTGCCTGACTGCTGAGCTGGAGCACACATAACAGTCTTCCACAGGAATCCACAGGCCTTATATCCGATTTACAACCTTCACAGGTAGGCAGCATCATAAGTCTTCAGAAAGCAGTTTTACAGGAAATATGCAACTGAATAGGGTGATAACAGCTGTTACCTATGTGTGGTTTTAGTTGATATAAAAAGTAGGCAGTGGTCTGTAGTACACTTTCTTTTCAGCCTTTAAAAGTAAGCTAACAGGCAACACATGAACAAATGATTTATTTATGTGAGAACAATAGGTATACAGGAACACCACACACTAGTGTAACCCTCGTGTCTTTAGATTTAAAGATGGGTAAGATTTTAACAGAGCTACCAATCAGTGGAAGGACTGCACAACCTTTTAACTTGAAGTATGATATTACTATTGAAGTACAGGTTTCTTGTGGTCACAGCCATTTTATTTTTGGCTTGGATTTGGCCCATGAGATGTTAGGTTCATCTTTCCTTTTCAATGCACCATGGTAATAGATAAAGTTGTACCTCACCTTGATATCATTTTACTTTTCAACAGTACTCACTACACCATGCAATCCAGCAGTGACCTCTGACACTAACACAAACACCATAAATGCCAAAACATATTGAATTTTGAGTCCATGCTGCCAGTTAGAATAGCAGATTTTTCTTTTGTCCTTTTGGAGAATGTTAGTGTGCACAATTATGAATAACCTAATATACAGTTAACCTTCTGGTTCCTCAATATTTACTTGAGAGGTAAAAGTGGCCTTCAACCGACAAACATTATTTGTAAAAAAACTGTAGAATATCTGACCTTTTCCTCTCTGCACATCGTTGTATTCTAGATGAGTGTTTTTAAAAAAAATAAGGTTTTGTGGTGACCGTCTTTATAAATGAGGATTTGAATTTTTAATCCCTCAGGCAATTTCTGCTCAGACCCACTGAACTTTCCATGGCCCGTGTTCTTTCCCTGGTCCGGCTTCAGCCTTTTCTCACCCTTGTGGGCAGGAGAAAACCTATGCCATGCACAATGTCAATGGACTCAAGGGCACGTGGGGTGTTTGCAGCTGCAGTGGAAGCTGTGCAGCCAGACACTGTGGTCCGGCAGAGTATAGAGCGCAAGGAGGACTCAGTTGTTATCTGTGGTCGCAAATTCACACTCCAACACAATCTGCACTTGGTGGGCTTTGGAAAAGCTGTACTGGGTATGGCTGCCGAGGCTGAGAGGATTTTGGGGGATCACTTAGTAAAAGGAATAATAAGTGTGCCACATGGGATTCAGCAGACATTACAGCATCATGGGAAAAAGTAAGCAAATGCCTTAGGAAGTAAACAACTTTAAAATATTACACAAAAATAACATTAAGCAGCATAATAAAATGTCTCCCTTCCATCACAGCCATCTGTTGTTAAAAGAAAACAGCCACATTAAAGTAATGGAGGGAGCTAAACACAACTTGCCTGACACTGATGCCCAGAAGGCAGCTGAAGGGATCAAGCAGTTAGCGAATGAACTGACGGAGAAAGACTTGCTGCTTGTACTGATTTCAGGTAAAACTTGATCTTCTCGTGTTGCTTTTTCTTTACAAAATGAAATATAAATCTCTGATAACCAGGTGGTGCAACTGTTTCTAGGTGGAGGCTCTGCACTATTGCCTGCGCCCATCCCACCAATCTCGTTGCAAGAGAAACTTGATGTTACCCGCAAACTTGCCGCTGCTGGTTCCACCATTCAAGAGCTGAACACTGTGCGGCGCGCCCTGTCTTTCTTAAAAGGTGGAGGGCTTGCACATTGTGCTCACCCTGCCCAGGTAACATACTTTTCTTTAACCAGCTTTTTATTGTAGGGGAGAACTCATTCCAGCATTGTTCTTCAAATATCACTCCTTTAATCCCTTCTTCACAGGTGATTGCACTGATATTGTCCGATGTAATTGGGGACCCTCTGGACTTGATAGCCAGTGGCCCCACAGTGCGGAGTGAGGTGTGGCCTGAAGAAGTTTTGTCAGTTTTTGAACGTTACAAGCTGTTGAACTTTCTACCAGCCTCAGTAAAGGAAGTCCTTGGAAGACCAAGTCCCCGGTGGAGGGAGAATACAGATGAATCTAACACATTGGGACATGTTCTCAATGCTGTGATTGGCTCCAACAGTGTTGCCCTTCAGTGTGCTGGTCGCCGGGCCCGAGAGCTAGGTTTCCGTCCTGTTGTGCTGGCACCAGGAGTGTGTGGTGATGTAAGGGCAGTCTCCAGACTTTATGGCCTCTTGGCCCACTTTGCCTGTTCTCAAAAGGAACCTCCTCCCGAGATTGCCGCTGAGTTGCTGAGGCTGGGGCCTGAAGTAGGAGTGGAGAGCTGGGACCTCTGCCGTACCATGCAGGTCTTGGATGAAGGGCGTACGGAAGGATGGGGCGCCACGTGTCTTTTAGCTGGAGGTGAGCCCACTGTGGAGCTGACAGGCAAGGGTCGAGGTGGTCGAAACCAGGAACTGGCCCTGCGAGTGGGACTGGAGCTGAGAGGCCTGGGACTCCCGCCTAATGGTCCTGTTTTCCTGAGCGGTGGAACTGATGGTCAAGATGGACCCACTGAGGCAGCAGGGGCCATTACTGATGGGGGGTTGTATGAAGAGGCACAAACACAGGGGTTGGACATCGACAACTTCCTTACCAACAATGATTCTTACACTTTTTTTACACGTCTTTCTGCTGGGCAGCGATTACTTGTACCTGGCCTAACCTGCACAAATGTGATGGATGTGCACTTGCTACTTATCCCACCAATTCCCGTTAACATAAGATAATTCCAAAGCACACAGAATAAAATGAGTTAAGTATTATCCGTCTGACTTGTATTGTACTACCTGTTTTGTTTTTTTTCAACGATAGTTTTTTTTGGCCCATTTATGTGAAACGCTTTGTAAATCTACACGAAAGACTGATATTGCAATTTAAAATTCAACCAAGTATATGATAGGATTGGAATAAAAATCATCAGTTTTGAAATCAACATTAAGGTTTTAGCAGGGAACAAAAGTTGTATGAATAGTGGATATCGACTGATATTGGTTTTTCAATGGCTGGTGCTGATATTTAGAGAGCAGGAACATCAGATGTCAAAACAAAGAAGAGTTGTATATTATTCCATGCAGTGTACAGTCTAATGTACATGGTTATCTTAGCCAGTTATGTGTTGTTTTAGACTGAATATGTATCAATTAATGAAATAGAGACATACATTGGGTTATGCTGTTGATTTCAGAACGTGACTGATGTTTAAAAGGAGAGCGGGGTACAGTTTGTCAGAAGTGACGTCATTAAACTGCATAATTCTCCACAGTAGAATATAAATTTAATGCTAGTCAGTAATGGTTTGAGATTAGATTTGCAAACTTTTTCATCACCTTCCCAAAACTCAAAAGGGGGAGCTCTAACGTCGTTCCACAGCAGCCACACTGACAAGGCTGCTTGTAGATGTGTCTGAAGATTATCGGTCTCGTGAGTGCAGGTATCGGCAGATGCCAATTATCTGAAAATGCCAGATATCACTGCAACATCAATTTTTTTTTTCTTTACAACCCAGCTCTAGCAATTAGAGACATCAATGACATCAGTATTTTCAAACACAACAAATTTAATATCAATCAAGCTATTTGCACTAAACTCACACAGTCGTAATATCATTCAGCTTTGCTGTTGGTCTTTTCACGTACTTCAAGGTACCTAAAATATGCTGATGATTTTGTTAAGTTCATTTGGTAAGGACTATGTACGTCATTATACATTTCTGTAAATACACACTGCAGCACATTATCTTGTACTACCAACTTGTCTTTACCATTTTAACGGTATTATAACTTTCAGTTATAGTGGCTGACTGTATGTCTCATACACACAATGTATTCAACCTACCTTTCACTATACATTAAATCACATTGGATTTAACAAAGCTTTTTTTTACACATTACTACTTCTAGTACTGAGCACAAATATATAAAAATTATTTATTAGGCATGCTTACCCTCAAGTAAAGAAGCACCTTTGGTAGCAATTACAACCATGAGTCTACCCAATATGGATAGGTTGGTTTTAGCTTTGCATATCTGAACATGGCAGATTTCCATCCATTCTTTTTAGCAAAATTGCTCAAGCGCTTTTGATTATCCAGCTGTTGGTCCTTTTTCCAGGTACACATTGTAAATTCATGTCACACCTTGATTACACGCAGGTGATTGTCATTCAAATTGTGCACTTTAGGTGTGTCATGAACAGGCTCAATGTGCTTGTGTAATCAATTATTTTGTATTTGCACCTAATTTTGATCAATCTGTAGAGATTTGTTTCACTTTGACGCAGGAGTTTGCGGTGAGTCAGCACTGTAAAAAAAAAAAAAAACATGAAAAAGCCAAAGGGGGTGAATATTTTAGACAGGCACTGTGTATCTCCCATAAACTGTATATAAAAAGGTATCTCCCTATAAGTGCACACAATGTTCCTTACATGTTATGAGAAATACTGGTTCAAATTTCATAGAAAATCATGTACAATGTAAGACATGAGCTGCTTTTCATGGATCTATATTCCAACAGATGTGCATTATTTATGAAATAGTAGTGATGTAAATAAAAAAAACCTGTCCACCGCAAAGGATCTTTCAAATCATAACACATGCACATCATTCACTTACTCCTGTTGATGCAGTTAAGGAATACTATTTTAAAAAGTATTTTTTTACTTACATACATCATTTAAATCAAGTCCAATTATTTTTTCTTGTTCATGGTCAGAATGAAAATCCCATGTCTGCTATCAAAACTGTGTTCTTAAAGCACCCTTAATTTATATACAAAACCATCATATTTTTCACATTTGTACAATGGCCTCTTGACCAATTAGCCAAATAGATCAATTTAGGTATTTACACAAGGAAAGGTCCTTCTCAATGACCAATGTTGACAGGCCAAAATAAATATCTCACAGCGCTATGTATAGATTTAGTGTCACTGTTGATCTACACAAAACGTAATAACAAATGTTTCTCTGTCACCAGAAGGTGCATGCATCTTGAATGCACTAAAGATACTTTATTATCAGCAAAACATGATGGTGCATTCAATGTCTTTGGGAGATGTAAACTGTCCAGCTCTCACTTGGATAAAGTCCAAAGTCCAACACTGCTATCCAGTTAATCTCGATGCGTCTTCAGGGTTTCTCCTGCTCTACTTTCCCTGTAAGAATAAGGCAATTAAATTACTAACAATCAATTTCATTGTATTACCATAAAATTCTATTATCCACTTTTAACCACACAGTCATCAGTGATATATTGGCAATAAATGTTGCAACTTCAGCTGTGGTGGACAGTAATTAAGTAAATTTACTCAATTTCATTCTACTTTCTACTTCTATATCACTACATCTCTGAGGGGAGGTTTTATACTTTTTACTACTACTACTTATTAAAATATGTTGTTATAAATTAAACTCCAACATTTTATACAAGTACGGCTGACAGGCAACAACTTTGATGGCAACAGATTATTCATGTAAAGCATTTCATGATTCCAGCTTCACCTATGTAATGATTTACTACATTTCCTTTTAATTATATTATAATAATTTTGAGCTTCGTATTGTTGGTTAGACAAGCATCCCCTGACAAACAGAACCATACAAATAGTACTTTTCTCCTTTCATATTTTTAAAAGCAGGTACTTTTGTACTTTGACTGAAGTATAAATTTAAATAAAAGATATTTAGTTCTCAGAAGTTATCAGTACTTTTACTCGAGAACTTGTGTGCTTCAGTGAAAATGATTACAACGTATCCATTGAACCTTGGAATTAGAGGCAGTCTCTCTAGATGCCCAAATAATCAGAAGGCAGGCACTAAAGAAAAAAAAAACCTGGACCAAACCAAGCTTCTGCAGTAATGGCCACCTATCCAACAGAAGCTTTAGCGCACCAAACTGTGTGAGGGTCGTAATTGACCTGTGTGAAGCGACATGGGTGCTCGGACACCTACCATCCACTCAGGTGGGGCGCTGTATCAGGTGTGCCTCCGTTCTGTCCAGTCCCTGCACATCAACACAGACAGAGAAATGAAGCCACCGTGGCTAGCACTAGTTTAGCAAGTGATACGGATAAGGTGAAACGGAAAAAACTCACCCTGTCGATAATACATATCGTTCACCGTATTCCCGTAGACTTTCCACGCAAAGTGAATTGCGATAAGGCTAAAAATTAACCAGCTGAGTAAGATTTTGAATATGGAGACTCTCATATCGTTGGCGAGCCAGTCGTCAACAAATTCGGAGAGGAACGACAAGCAGCTGTCGGCGATGCGGGATAAAAACTCAAAATCCCACGGTTCCTCCATAGTGTTGGGTTATTCAGCTAAAATTAAATCAATAAGGTGAACTCTTTATCCGATGGATACTTTAAAAACGTCGCTTTGGCTAGGTAACGAATGACATCCTGGTGATCATCGCTACCGTTACGACGTTGTTTCTATGACTGGGGAGGCTTGAAGAAGCGGAGATGACGTAGCTTACGTAGCGTGGTTACGCCAGCTTGAAACGATAAACATAATTCCAAGTAGTGTTATATCTACTAAAGCTAAACTATACATTTAATTATTGATATACTAACGTGATTCAGTTCATATAATACGTCCCATCATTTTATACGTTTAAAACTAAAATTGAATGCTACTACCAGCACAGCTAACATAGCTACTAGCCCCGTTTGGTAGCTCAACACTTCCATATTGCTCCATACGCAAAGTGTAGGAGGAAAATCTAAACGTTACTTTTTTATCTGTCATCCAGCAGCGGGTTTCATCTTTAACCGAATTTTCATGACCCTGCGGGCGTCTACTGTCTGTCAGGGATGATATAATGCTAGACCGGAGTGAAGCTAACGTGTTCAGCATTTCCACGCTAGCCATAGCAGGCCGGAGCAGCTAACTTACAGCCATCGGTGAAGTGCAACGTTATATACTGGATTTAAACATTAGTATAAGCCCGGATAAGAATTTTATCGCTCCGGACCTTATATACAGTCTATGCTCCGGACATGCAGTAGACCTTCGATAGATTACAAAAATACCGCTGAAGATCAACCCGCTGCTGAATCACAGGTTAAGAAAATAACAAATCACTTTTCCCCTACGATTTTTGTAGGAAACGCTTAGGACCGCACGGAGTAACGTAAGGAGCATGAGCGCACAATTTATCTCCTAGCTACGTTAGCTACATGTCTTCGCTGAAAGGCAAGTGGTCATCCATGTCGTTTTATAGTTTTATTATGGAAAGATACAATTCCTACATGTTTGCTAGTGATTGTATGTGTCCCAAGATATTTGACAAGTCACTGTCTCGGCTGCATGAAAAATACTTTGAGAGGGGCGGGACTAGCCGTAGCCACCGAGCGGCCTGATTGGTCATTTGAGCTTGTCGTCAGAGGTTCCGGATGTCTGCTGTGGTAAAGAGGAAAATTTGTTTTCTGCTTCTCATTTTGTGTCGTTCATTCTTGACACCCTGATTGCTGCCGGGTTGCGGATGAAAGTTAATGTAGCCATTTAGATATTCAACCCAACGTTTCTATAGTACAAAATCGTAAGTTTTTTTCTTTGTCTTTAGGTGTCTAATTGTAGGTGACCACGATTGCTTGCGTGCTCACTGTTAAGCCAAGGCCATGAAATTGATCTGTGTGTCGCTTGCTAGCAGGTAACGTTAGCCATGAAACTGCAGTCAACATTTACCGAGTTGCATTGGAATTCACAGTCAAACATTTATCCTTACTGAAAAGTAAGCTATCTTGAAGGCGAGCACGTTAGCAGACAAGCTAACATTAGCTTTATAAGTAACTTAAGCTATTATTAAACAAACGTTACCCTTTTCTCTGGCTGTCAAACGTTAACAGTTCACTTACTTTCGTCTCTCTGTCCAACCGATTGCCGTTTATCTGTTGTATAACATTCACCATGCTGCTGGAAGTTGTAACCAGTATTAAACTCCAGAGTCTGTTCGGTATCTTGGAGTTGTAATTCTCCCCTGTAACCAGTTATCCTCTGTTATCGTCATGTGATCTGACCACTGGTCCAGTATGAGTGCTCCTATTCATTAGAGATTGAGAAGCATGCTGTGTCAATGTTCATCTACAACCACTTACAAACACTGGTTGTAAAGCGGTTTATTGGGAATTGTTGTGTTATTGTTAGGCATTTTTTTGTCTCCAGTGACTGGGATGGTATCATGGAGAGAGACAGTCATCAAGGAGAGGCACAGGGAGTGAAGATTTGTGATCCAACCTCTGAGAGTAATCCACCTGGTAAATTATTTAATTGTTCATTACAGCTATTCTAAATTTTAGCCCACCTGTCTTAAATTTTATCATTCATTTAATAATTTAATTTTGTTTTTCATCCTAGCTGACACCTTGGCAACTTCTCTCTCCCTGTTGGGGAATCACATGTTTCCTGACCGGGTGGAGAAGAAGGACAGCACCACTGTTAACAAAGAGGACCCTGCAGATTCACTTGTGTCAGATGTTACTGCAGAGGAGCAGAGTCTGGATGCAGAGCCCCTTTCTAACCAGGAAACAAAGCTAGAGACTGAGGAGACTGAAAACTCTGAGTGTCAAAACAATGTGTCCACCCAGCCGTCTGACAGAGGAACCGAGGAAGCTGCCATTGACAATGACCAGAGCGACGCTGGGGAGTTTGTTGTTACAATGCTGGCCAAGGCCAAACTGGAGGAGCAAGGTATAGGTGTGAAAGGAAGGTCTTCTCCCTTGTTGGAGGCAGGCATCCAGGAATCTCCTGCGTCTATGTCTCATCGTGATGAGGACGTGACAGCTGACAGCTGGCGGCAGCACAGGAAGCATGTTTTTGTGCTAAGTGAAGCAGGCAAACCCATCTATTCCCGATACGGCAGCGAAGAGGCGCTTTCATCTACAATGGGAGTCATGATGGCACTTGTTTCCTTTGTTCAAAGTGGAGATAACATCATCCGCTCAGTCCATTCTGGTGAGAGCATTAGTGCGATTATTATCATTTTGTATTTGTCCAGATACCTTTTGTAACATTATTGTAAATGTAATTTTCTATTTATGTAAATGACAGCTAGTGTAGAAATTTCAGAGAGGATTGTGGGTAACAGTGGCCAGTAAATGTCACTGCAGTGGCTCTAGCTCTCTATAGAAGGCAAGTTAATTATTACCAATTGACAAAAAGAGCTGCACCTAAGAGAACCGTGTCTGAAATATAATAATCGAGGAGAAGTTCATGCATTTAGAGTGTAGTTTTACAATCACTTTGTATTTATTTTAGTTCTGGAAATTCCTGTTACATTAACACATATTTTTGAGTCCAGAGCTGTCGATCATTGTTAGTAGACAGTCACTAATACTTCTGGTATTATCCTTAATGTTTGCTGGTGTCTGTCTTTCTTTCCATCAGAGGAGCATACCGTGGTGTTCTTACAGAAGGGGCCCCTAGTGCTGGTGTGTGTCTCTAGCAGCCGCCAGTCTGCGCAGCAGCTACGTGGAGAGCTCCTCTATGTGTACTATCAGATCATCAGCATGCTCACCCAGGCCAGCATATCCCGCATCTTTGAACACAAGAAAAACTACGACCTGAGGAGACTACTGGCAGGCTCAGAGAAGATCCTGGACGGTCTCCTCAACCTGGTGGATTCTGACCCCAGCTTCCTGCTAGCAGCAGTACACTGTTTGCCCTTAGCCTCCTCTCTCAGGGACTCTCTCAGCCAGATCCTTCAGAAAGCAATCACCCCCAATTTGGTTTTCTCCATCCTCATCGCAAATAACCAGCTGCTCACCATTGTCCAAGAAAAGACAGTAATCGAGGACAGCAGGCTGGAGCCAGCTGACGTCCACCTCCTGCTCAACCTCATTGGAGCGTCCTCTGCCTTTCAGGCTGGGGAGATCTGGACTCCCATCTGCCTCCCCCTCTTTAACCCTGACTGTTACTTTTATGCATACATTTCTTACCTGGACCCTCCAGAATGCACTGTTTGTTTGCTGCTGCTCTCGACAGACAAGGAGGCTTTCTACGCTGTAGCTGAGTGCAAGAGGAAGATAGAGGAGGCCATGGTGGCTCAGAACTCCCTTAGCCTCATTGCCCAAGTCCAGTCTTACAGCGTGAGCCAGGTGGGCGTCTCAGACCTCAGACACTTCATGTACAAGCCCTTTGATGTGCCAGACAACTACCGTCAGCTCACTCAGTTCACCAGGTGTGTGTGCGTGTGTGTTTGTGTATCTGTTTTTGTTTATGCAACTACAGGAGGGACATTTGAGCCTAAAATAGTTAAAAATGAGCATATGTAAAATAATAAAACTTGTAGACAGACATTAATATTTCTCTTTCTGTTTTTAAAAAAAGGGGTTTGTGATAACATTATTTTAGTCTCAAGAAAGAAAACATATTTCGTATGAAGGCCCTGGCTTGTATACAATATAAATATATTGTATAAGAAAGTATGAAAGCCCATTTACCAGGTGTGTGACGAGATCTCAGATCATCAGGTTAAAAGCTGCCTCGCGAGACTCACTCTATTGACAATTTTCAAATGCTGTCAAGCCACACTTTAATTTTCTCACACACAAATGTGTAACTGATAAGGTAGACTCACAGAGTGGATGAGGCTGTGATGGCAATGAGTGAAATTCTTGCGCTGTGAGTCGCAGCTAGTTGTGACAGAGTCTAACGTAGCTGGTAGCACGTATATTTTGCAATATAAACATCTAAAAACTGAAGCACAACCTTGCTCCCCTGGGGACTGTTAGCTGCTGAAGTTAGCGTGTGTGTGGATTTGTGGTGAGAATTTTGCCTGATCAAGTGTTGTGGGTTAGTTTCGGTTTGTCGTGCAACATTGAGTCCCAAACTGTGTCGGTCAAATGGTCTGAAGGGGAAAATACCAGCGTAGCAATAACTTAAAGCACATATAGTATAGGGCAGGTAGACTTTAAAAAATTATTATGAATTCTCATTAAATGATGTGTGGGAGAGATTCTGAATGTGCAGTAAGTTTTGGACATGAGCCCATGTCTCGTCTCGTAGGTTAAGTATCTCGTCACACCCCTACCATTTACGTTTGAGAAAAAAATACATCTTAGTGTGGTTGATGTTTGACAAATTAAGTGTCCTGTTTTTATATTTGGTAGTTCAGAAAATGAGGTTTTCTGAAATAGAGCTTCCATCTACAAGGGCACAGTGTAATCTAATTGTAAGAAATTCAAAGTCTTCCGTCTTCTAATCCTGTCAATTCACTTTACTGATCTCTTAATGAGGTGAACTAAAAGCATTGGTCCTGGCCCTATTACATAAGCCAGCAGCCCATCGAAACCTCGAAAATGAAAGTGAAATCATACAAATAATAAGAGCACTTCACTTTTTGTTTTCATCTTTTAAAACATTACAATGTTACAAAGAGCAAAACGTTTCCCATCTTACTGTCTCATCAGTAGCAAAAATCAATTGAGGGCACCATAGCAGAAGCTTTGTATGTCTTTTCTGTCTGTAACCTTTTTCTCTATGATTTGCGGCTGCATGTAGTCCAGAGATGGAGGCACCGTACAGCAGTGAAGAGGAGAAAATGAGACTGCTGGACCTTTATCGTTATATGCACAGCCGCATCCACAGCACCTCACGACCCCTGAAGCTCATCTACCACGTGGCTGAGAGAGAAACTCTGCTAGCCTGGGTACGTAGCTGTGTTCACGGACACGTTCTCATTGTTACTATATGCGACTTTCTGCACAATGACTACTGTCTTTGTGTGCATTAGATAATCTTTGACATGAGGATGTCCGAATATATTTTAAGGACTTTTAAAGGAATAGTTCAACATTTTGAAAAAAATGCCGTCTTTTTTTTTTTTTTTTTTTTTTTTTTTTTAGTTAGACGAGAAGATTGATATCACTCTCATATCTGTCTGTTAAATATGAAGCTGGAGTTGGAAGACAGATAGCATAGCTCGGCATAAAGATTGGAAACAAGGGGGAACAGCTAGACTGGCTCTGTCGAAAGGTTTAAACTGTACAAAAACCTAAGTGTAAAAACGACAGGTTGTGGTTCTCTTTGGCGTTTGTGTATTAGACTAGTTCTTGTATTTTCTTTCCAGTCTTTATGCTAAGCTAAATTAGCCAGCTGCTAGCTGCAGCGTCATATTTAATAAACAGATACAGACAGTATCTTTTAGGATCAATTTTGATTTGATGTCCCCACCTAAAATGTCCATTTTGCTCTCCACTGTAGGTCACAAGTAAATTTGAGCTGTACACCTGCTTCAGTCCTCTGGTGACAAAGGCCTGTGCCATTACTGCTATCACTAAGCTTCTAAGGTGGATTAAAAAGGAGGAGGACCGTCTTTTCATCAGATATCCCTCAAAGTATTCCACCACCCCAAATCCCAGCAAGAGCTCTCGGGGTGGCAAATCTGACCAGCAAGACTCCACAGATAACGGCTTTTTATCTCTTCTATAGGACTCTCGTAGTACTACTATAGTTGCTCTGCCTCATTCAACAATAGTTTGTACACTGTTTCCAAGATATTTTTAAACCCTCTTTTGACACTTGTTGGACTTGACAGACATTGACTACTGGAATCAAACACTACATTTTACACTAATTTAAGAAGGAATGATCTCTTTTACACTAGTATTATTTCTTTACCGTAACAAGAAAGCATGTCATTGCATCACTTTCTTTCGATCCGAAAGAGTCAGGGCAAAATAGCATCAGTATGTTTTAAATTAAACTGTGGGAGAAAATAATTGCAATGATATTTAAATGTTTTTATATTATTTTATTACTGCAACAAGAGAGACCATTTCCTCGCGGACAGTGAATGTATCACACAGACGACAGTTCATTCATATACTATAGCCTAACGATCCATTGCACCTTTGTTGTCTAAGTTAAGATGAGGAGTAAAATTAACTTTCTCAGACTAATTCTCACACATACACATATAATTTTCATGACACAAAAACATCCCAGTGTTACGAAACAGGATCTGCAACAAATTAACGTACAGTATGTTGTGTATTTGGGCTCAACATAAACTGGAAAAACAACTGGAACTGCCAGAACAGGGATGGGCCGCCATGTATCATACAGGGTCATGAACAAACAAATTGCCCTTTTTATGAATTTGGTTGCACATCCTGTGACAGAACTTGAAAACTTGTCGTTTCACATACCACTGATGTTTCTACTCTAATTAAAATCAGGTTGCATTCATGTTAAATTTTGTGCAGAAAACAAATCTGTTACACCTGATCACTTTACATGATCATCGTCATCTGTTACGATAAAAAGATGCCACTGAACTCACACAATGTTTTTCTGCAGATACTTCTGGTACGATTATCAGTTGACACTTAATGTAGTGACTTCAGGCGACTTATCTTTTTGGATAGTAGTTTTGTAACGATCTGTAGGTAATAAACAGTAGCCTCATTCTTGTGTCCTTTTAGAGGAATTTTCTGTCAATTCAAGTCTTACGAGTATGTCTATAGTATTATGAAATAAATCCCAGGTTGCACAAATCTGCACTTGTTCTCATTAAGTAAATATGTCCTGAATAAGCGTAATTTATTTACCATAACATGACAAATAACATTAAGTAAGACTTGATTTTGCAAGTCTGTATTTTCTGTGTTACTTTATGGTTTTCTTTTGAAATTTCTATGTAATTTGGTTCAGATTACAGGGAAAATGACTCTTCCAATGAATTGCTTGTGTAACCTTCAGTCTTTTAGGCAGTGCGTAGCAGGTGAGCCGTGCTTCCCAGGAATTATACTATAATTAGTACCACATCACATAGTTCCTTCCAGGAAACAACTGAGAACATTATCAGGTATTAAGGGACCCATACAATCAAGAATTGCGAACAATTTTAAGTGACTCTTACCGTCATGATGACTTTGATACAACTATATAGATATATCTAGATATATATAGAGAGAGAGAGGTGACACTTGAAAAATTAGCATATCGTGCAAAAGTTCATTTATTTCAGTAATTCAACTTAAAACTTTGAAACTAATATATAGACTTATTACATGCAAAGTGAGATGTTTCAAGCCTTTATTTGATATAATTTTGATGATTATGGCTTACAGCTTATAAAAACCCCAAATTCAAAATCTCAGAAAATTTGAATATTGTGAAAAGGTTCACTATTGTAGGCTTTAAGTGTCACACTCTAATCAGCTAATTAATCCAAAACACCTGCAAAGGGTTCCTGAGCCTTTAATTGGTCTCTCAGTCTGGTTCAGTAGAATTCACAATCATGGGGAAGACTGCTGACCTGACAGTTGGGCAGAAAACCATCATTGACACCCTCCACAAGGAGGGAAAGCCTCAAAAGGTAATTGCAAAAGAAGTTGGATGTTCTCAAAGTGCTGTATCAAGGCACATTAATAGAAAGTTAAGTGGAAGGAAAAAGGTGCACAAGCAGCAGGGATGACCGTAACCTGGAGAGGATTGTCAGGTAAAGGCCATTCAAATGTGTGGGGGAGCTTCACAAGGAGTGGACTGAGGCTGGAGTTATTGCATCAAGAGCCACCACACACATCTGGGTCCTGGACATGTGCTTCAAATGTTGTATTCCTCTTGTCAAGCCCCTCAACAAACAACGTCAGAAGTGTCTTACCCGGGCTAAAGGGGGAAAAAAAAGAACTGGTCTGTTTCTCAGTGGTCCAAAGTCCTCTTTTCTGATGAGAGCAAATTTTGCATCTCATTTGGAAACCAAGGTCCCAGAGTCTGGAGGAAGAATGGAGAGGCACACAATCCAAGATGCTTGAAGTCCAGTATGAAGGTTCCACAGTCTGTGTTGGTTTGGGGAGCCATGTCATCTGCTGGTAATGGTCCATTGTGCTTAATTAAGTCCAGAGTCAGCGCAGCTGTCTACCAGGACATTTTAGAGCACTTTATGCTTCGTTCAGCAGACAAGCTTTATGGTGATGCTGACTTCATTTTCCAGCAGGACTTGGCACCTGCCCACACTGCCAAAAGTACCAAAACCTGGTTCAATGACCATGGGATTACCGGCTTGATTGGCCAGTTAACTCGCCTGACCTGAACCCCATAGAGAATCTATAGGGCATTGCCAAGAGAAAGATGAAAGACATGAGACCGAACAATGCAGAAGAGCTGAAGGCCGCTATTGAAGCATCCTGGTCTTCCATAACACCTCAGCAGTGCCACAGGCTGATAGCATCCGTGCCACGCTGCATTGAGGCAGTAATTCATGCAAAAGGGGCCCAAACCAAGAACTGAGTACATATGCATGATTATACTTTTCAGAGGGCTGACATTTCTGTATTTAAAATCCTTTTTTTTCCTATTGATTTCATGTAGCTGTACTGTAATCATTGAAATTATATAAAATAAAGGCTTGAAATATCTCACTTTGCATGTAATGAGTATATTAGTTTCACCTTTTAAGTTGAATTACTGAAATAAATGAACTTTTGCACGATTTGCTAATTTGTCGAGTTTCACCTGGAGAGAAATATATAGCCGCCACCACCATATCTATATTTTTCTTCTAAGTCCCTGACTGTAACTTAGATCATATACAGGATCTAACAAGAACTTTCAGAAGTTTATGCCTTGCTTTTCATTGGTCCAATTGAAAGTTAACAGTGGCTGATGATCTAAACACAAACACTTGAAATATACAATAAAGTTGTTTATTTCCTGACAAAAGTTAAATATGATCAAACATCTGCTGTATTTTTCAGGTCAGGCAGTTGGACCAGCTCTGAGGCCTATACTGTGAAGCAGGATTTGAGTTTAGTGACGGTAACTTCAGGGTTAACCCTGGGTTTTCAGTCCTATGATGGTGGTTCACTTCTTTCTGGGATACATTGCCCTGATGTATACTGTCTAGGAGTGCGGATGAAGCAAAGTGTGCACAGCCAACCAGCAGTTTGGTGCAGGACAAAAGCAGTATACAAAAACGTCACCACAGTCTTTATCAGGTAAAGACATTGCACAAGATGTTGCATGCCAAGATCTTTTGGAGCTTTAACCACTGCTTTAACTTCAAACCATGTTATCTTCTTTTCTTGTACTTGGCTTGTGTCTTGAAATGATACCTAGACCTAAAGGAGGAGAACTTAAGCTGAGCAGGTGAAAGTGGTTAACAGATGACGTACACAAGCAGTTGTTTCAAACAGCATTTATTCTTGTGTGAGAAAATATCGTCTCAGGCAGATTATAGATCTTGCAGTACAATTCAAATGACAAGATCAAAAACCTCCCGTGCCACCCAAGAAAAACAAACAAACAAACAAAAAAAACTCGTAGACTAGTGCGCTCACTGCTGCCTACAGAGTTCAGGTCTTGTGCCACCTCACTTCTACAGAATATGTTCTGACATGTTGGTGAATACCATCACTATTACAAAGAGCTACTTAGCATCATACATAAATCTTTTCAATATTATACTTTTTAAATAACACTCTCAACTGCCACATTATAAATTAAAATCTAAATTTGATTTTTGCATTCCTTAAATTACTTCATGTAAGCCAATATAAACATACATTTACATATTTACAAAACTATACACATGCACCTTTACTACACCGAGGTTGTATTCATATATGTATATACTGTACACACACGCGCACACACACGTTTTTGCCATTTATATGGCTCCAGGAGTCACCAATCCTACACATTTGTTGTTTTTTTTTGTTTTTTTTAAACAGACCATTTGTGCTTTTCAAGTCATTTCAGACAGATTTGCTAACGATTGCAAGTTCTGTGAGTGATCGCAGTAGACTCTGTCATGACCACAAAACAATCAGCTTCACCTCTATAGTGGCTTCACATCTTACTAACCAAGTAGCTGCACTGGGTACTCAGACATTCTAGTATAATAATACAGTTTCACAATATGGAAAAATAAGTAAAAGACCTTTAAAGTCCCACATACAACACATCATAGCTGGACTAACAGTTCAAGAATGTTTGCATTGGCAGCCCCTCAATACTTCTATTGATTCCCATCTTGTTATATCAACTGAGCAATTCCCAGAATTGTTGACATAAAATGTGCGCTTCCCTAAAACATATCCTGCAGGTTTGATGCATTTCCTTTTGAATAATGCTGTTTATTATCAGTAGTAACTCAAAGGCTGGATCCTACTCAGTGGTAGGTAGGATCTGAAGAAAAGGTTGGGTTTTTTTTAAGCTTGGTGCCTTTTACATTTATTTTGGGAATCAAATGTTTATGTAATATTACTGACATTGCTTAGAATTAGAAAATTATTTTCTGACGGCAAAAATTATAATTTTCCTCCACAGCTGTCACAGCCAAACTTCCCTAGAGTCCAGATGTGACGTGAACATTAAGTGGGACTTTCACACTTCAAACACAGTGACATTTCAATGGCAAATACAATCTAAATATGTTTTGAATCAAGACAATCCCTTTGACAATTAAAAATTTACACTTTTCTCACGCAAGTCTTGACTCACTTTGGCCTAAAATAAAAACTTTATATTAACACGATCCCAACAGTGGTTGTGTAATTTTTAAAAATTACATGAATAAATGAACAAATTCATCTAGGAAGATGTTTTCCAGCATGATTTCTCTCCATTTTAAAATAACAGTTTTATGCAGAAAACCTTCAAATACCAACAACTGTGGCTAGCATTGATTAAGCTTCTAGACACATAAGCAGGCGACCTGTTTAAAAGTGATTAAATCTTGAAACTACTTTATATAAAATTGGAGGGAGTGAAGTTTAGATTTCCTCTCACGTGGTTTAAATGTACCATGGCCCGGTCGTATGCAGTGTGTACAGACTTGCGAACACTGGGTTTCTTGCCTTCCATTAAGCGCAGTTTGTCCACAGTGTCATCCATCCCCAGCGGCAGTAGTTTGTTCCGAGGGAGCCATTGCCTTAAAACCAAGAGGGACAATTTTCAAAGTAACCAAGACTACTCCAGATTGTTTTAAATTCAGCATGACGATCAGCCTGCCTGTCTGAATCTTACCAAGTTCTTTTGGTGTCAAAGAAAAGCACTAAGAAGAGCTTTTCGCCTTCTTCTGTTTCCCTCCATTCGCCTAGTTTGAGCACCTCCACAGGAGGCACTGGAATGGGAATGCCGTTGTGAAGAAGCCCTTCCTGGGGCATGTCTGGGTCAACAATCTGTAAAAATAAGTTATGTCAGTTAAAGTTGACTGCATTATTATATTCTTCATGGGATGCAATGAGGCGCTTTCTTTGCACTACGAGCCAAAGACATGCTACAGTATGTACACCATCAACTGAAACATCAAATACATCCTCACCATTGCCGGGTATGATGGATATCCTCTGCATTTGGCCCAAACTAGGTCCAGGGGTGAAAGCTCAGTCTCACTATCTAAAGACAGAAGTGTAGACTTTCCTGTGAACAGGATATTCCAATATATCCGATTAATTCGTGTTCATGACAGCTCCTGAGCCCAAGAGAATTTCATGGAATTGTAATGTTCATGAAAATTGTAAACTTTAGGTTTTTGTGTGCAGAATCGTAC